GGGTTTGTCCTTGTCTGTATTATTTAGTCCATTAATATGATACTGTATGTAAGAAAAAAAATTAATAACATGGCAACAAATATAAACAGGTCGACAATTTTCAAAGGCAGAAAGTAAATATGAAAAATTTTGATATGATTAAATAAAAACTAAAAATAAAGAAGAAACTGTAACCAGTTGCTTAGTAGCTTCTATTTCCAAACCCTCCAGTTCTAAAGTTCATCGTTCAACTTCTCATGGAAAATTAGCTCTTGAATACTCTTTACAGAAATCTTTGTTAAATATTCTACAATTATTTTGGAACGTAAAAATTATTAAAACGAGAACACAAAGAGTAGTTTAATTGTTTAAATGATGTTTTCTGTACTCCAGATCAACTGTTCAAGATTATAAAAATTGTCGAGAGAGCTAGTTGCTATTTATAAGCTCTCATGCACGAACAGTAATTATTTTCACTTATTAAAAAGAAAAAAAAAACAGAAAAAGGAAAATAACATTCCATCATATTCTGGAGAATCAACCTGGGGATTGCTGCTGATGTGGCAGTCCCATCAGATTTTGAGCTGACTTGGCAAAGATCTTGACGACAATGATTGGGTTGTCAGTTGACCTGGACTTCCCACGTATGGGTGAACTATTGATCCACGTTCAGCTGATCATAGCTCCCGCTTCACTACCTCGTTCCTATTGTTCCCACAAATGATTGCCTATATTTGTATTCGTCATTTCTTAATCAATTAATCAATAGTAATCAGAGGATGCCATAAATGGATTTATGGTTCGAACTTAATCCAATCCAACATTATTTTTCATTTCTTTTTTCGTTTCAAACTCTGGAGTTTAAATTTTTCTCACTCAAAGCACATTTAACATTCGAAATATAATTTTGTGCGTTTACTTTTTTTGTTTTTCACCGACAATAACAGTTACTAATTCTTTTTCACTGAATTGACGAGAAAAGTAAATGAACAAATATATATTTACGTTTTCAACAAAATTAACAGTTTAACTTCAATAGTGAAAATATATTGGCGTGATAGGTCTTTTTTGTATGTATATAATGGCTTCAAGTACTCCTCGGTAAAAAAAATACTTGTGTTAGTGTACAACGCAAAATCATTAATACTTTAATCTTGGTACTTGTCTATTACTCTAGAAATTAAGATACGGATAAAACAGTAAATAAATAAATACGTATCAGATAATAATTAGTTGGATTTCTGAAAATATACACACCAAAACTTACACAGAACAGAAGTTTTAATTAGTGGGAACTCGATCGGTCCAATATTCATAAGTGATGAAAGTGATGTCATTTCAAAATATCTTAGTACTATGTGTAGAATTTGTTGCTATAATTAGCAAAATTGTGAAAAATGCTGATTCGAATTAATTGTGGCTAGCGATTATTTGTAATGGGAACGACGGAGCTAATTAGAAAGGTCTGGAAGATACAGACTCTAGACATCCAAGAAGGTCTCGACGTTTCGTTTTCGCTATCATTAAGTTGTGTCATTTTTACAACGTCAAACTGTGTAGTAATTTTTATTTTTATTTTTTATTGTTTTTTTTTAAAAAAAGAATAAATCAATGAGGTTTAGTTTGGTGATGAAATGATGATGTCTGGTGGGGAAGGCAATTTGTGGGCGACTTTTTTTTGAAGGTTTTAGGTCCAACTCGAAGATCTGCGAAAATTACAAACAAAACATTAAGAAAATTCAACAGTTGCTTAGCTAAGTGTTGCATAACTTAGTTTTCTATGTTTGGAGAATGTTAAATTGCAATTCATGACGCGAATTCAATTATTTCTGATTGAGTTTTTTTTTTTATTTTTTAATACTTCCTCCGTCCCATAATTATTGTCTAGTTTGGATTTTCATTTTTAGTTCAAATTATACTAAAAGTAAAATTTCAAATTGGACAATAATTTTGGGACAGAGAGAGTAACAAATATTCAATTTCTCTTTTGCTTATGAAATCCTCTAACCAGGCCAACATATCAAAGCCAAAATTTGAAGTATTTTTAGTGAAAATTCGAACTAAACCAAGTAATGCTTGGTATACATTTTGGTGATTCTTGCCTAAACCTCTATTTTGCAAATGGTTTGAAATTCTTGTAGTGCTCCAAATTATTTAACCGAGTGTTAGTTATGTATATCCACCGACCTTTTCTTTTCATTCTCTTTACCTCAATTCTTAATTTGATCAAACGAAGGGAGAGACAAAAGATGAAGAATCTGATTTTGGAAGAATATGTTCTTTAACACTTTAGAAGTGAAAATATAATAATAATAAGAAAAAAACAGGACAATTGTCAAAGGTTGCCAAGCTCTTAGACATGACTGATTATTCTTTTCTTTTTTTTAAAAAAAAAAGAAAGAAAGAGAATGATTTGATTGATGATGGCTAAATTCAAATCTTTTAATCTAGAAATTAATATGAATTAAGTGATAAAAGGAATAACGTCTTCTTCTTTTTCTTCAATAATAAGTAGTACTAAAGATGATGATAAGAGCATATATAATACTCCCTCCATTCCAAAATAAATGTCGTTTCAGCAAAATGGAGAAATTCCAAAATAAGTGTCGTTCTCACATTTCAATGCACTTTTTGTCAAAAGTTTTCAAAATTACCCTCAAAAGAGTTGATGTTATTAGTGGACAATTTTATAATGGGGTTGTTGAGGATATTCAAATAATTTTATTACCTTATTTAAGAGTTTCTTAAACTATGTGCAAAGTATATGACGATACTTATTTTGGAATGGAGGGAGTATAATATAAATGGTTGCTAAAATCAACCCGGCCTATGCTGATAAAGCATTTTTGTAACTTTGGAATCACTCAAGAACTAGTTCGTTTGCGTACTTATATACTTCAGAAAACATAAATGGCTTGAAGAGACTCCATCTGTTTGCATTTAATTGTAAATGGTCTATAAATTAAACAGTTTCCATAATCCACGTTTGTTTTTAACTTGTTGGAGTAAGACAGTGAATTACAGAAGGCTCCAGAAATGAATGGCCACGCGTTAAGAAAAGTTTGACCACGTTTATGACTTACGTGGAGATTTTAGTAGTATAGCATCATAATATTTGAATTTTCGAACAAATTATTGTGCGAATGATTAATCAATTTGTGATTTGTGATGATACATAATTACAGATGGACATAACTTTCTAACATGCTACTGGTATCAAATTTTTACACTGCGTAGAATTTCCATCTTAATTCTTATCATATACGGGGTTAAACCGAAATCTAAACTTGTCCAAACTGGTAATAATACATAGGAGGATATCCGAACTGCAAATAATGCACTGTCGAAAGACTGCTATCAAGCCAATCAACCATTGCATTAATTGATGTCGTGATTGAATACTAGCATTAATCAACAGAGTAAAATGTTCATTTCCCCTTTTCAATCAAAAAAAAAAAAATTGTTCATTTCTAATTTATTAACATCAAAGTAAAACCTAAATAAGATCGGACGACATAAATTACTGCATAGTCCATATCGCTATTTTCTAATTTTATTTTGAAGTGGTAAAGGTGACACAATGCGTTCATCCATAGACGATTAATAGCCGAATTTGTATGTGAGCGCATTCAATAATAATTAGGAAGTGTATTTTGTCATTTTCGTACACTTTCGGGGTTATTTGAATGTTTTGTAAACTATAATGAAATTTTGGTGATTGAATTTACTAATAATGGAAAAAGAAAGCCACCAAAATGGACAAATTTCTTGTTAACTGGACAAAATTGACAAGAGAATTATAACTTTTGGGATGAATTTAACTTCCTCAAATTCTTTTGAATGAAATTAGCTAGGAGCTAACAGTTTTGAATCAAAACAACCAATTGCTCTCCGAAACCAAATAAAACTCGAATTGGATGCCAATCAACTCATCGATAGAGATTGGGAAAAAGTGTATAAAAGAATAACTCCAAGATTGCAATCAAATTCGACACCCAATTTGGTTTCACGCCAATATTACATTTTGTTCTTTTTAAAAAACTTACTTTGGGTGATATTTACAAAATTTTCTTTAGAAATATCTGACAACGCTGTTGAATTACTCTTTCTGTCCCAAAATTATTATCAAGTTTGATATTTTATTTTTAGTTTAAATTGTACTAAACGTAAAATCTCAAACTGACAATAATTTTAGAATTAAGGGAGGTATTTGAATAAGTAATTTCTTGCAAAACGATTTTTATTTTATTTTTTTTGGACGTAAAAACTTCATACTCTCATTTAACAAAGTAGCAAATACATTATCCAGAGTCATACGATTCAAGGCACACTTTCGCTAACCTATGTGGGCCTTTCACTATGTTTCTGTCTACGTTACAGTTTTAAAAACACAGTTTTGAAACACACAGTAAAACGATATTAGGTTAAAACCATCAAATAAGTGATTTTAATTAAAAGTGGATGAATTCTTACTGCTTTAATTGCATTTTTTGATTAACTGAAAAATACTTATTATCAAAAGCAAACGCAACAATGTCCAACCATTTTCATCAAGACTCAAGAATCGAATTTGGTTACATGCCAAAACATTTTCCGAATTTCCCTTTTCTTTATGGAAACTTGAAATTGCTGATACAACAGAACATTTCCAACTTGCTCCTCTTGTCCTGCAAAAAAACTGCAAAATGACACACAACTGACAACTCTTTCTTCCGCGTAAAAAACCACCATCCCGCAACCCAAAAATCAGCTAGAAAAACGAAGCCCCACTCCAAAAATATCTTCCCCAGAAAACCCACAAAACAAAATGTAAAAAAAAAACTACGGTGATCCTCCAATTCGAACAGGACAAACAAGGTGAAAAAAATAATCATTAAAATGACTATGATTGAACATCTGACAACTCAATTACACGTGGCGTAAGATCAATGGCAATGGTTTGGCAACTTGATCGACCTATTGACAAGGAAAACCAGTATATAAACCCTCTGCTAATCGTGTTTTTAATCAACCTTCCATTGTTGAAAAACAGAGCATTCTTCATCAAAGCTTTACTGATTTCAATTTTTCGCTTTCGTTTATTTTTTCTCAAAGGAAGTTTGCATTTCCTTTCTGGAGTGCGCTTCTGCTGAGCAGTAATTCTTTCCAGTACCTTCAAGAGAATCAACTTCTGCATTGATCATCATCTTCATCATTAACAGAGCTTCCAGCATAATTCTAGTCGATTAAAGGTACGAAATTGGGTCCTTCCATTTTCTGGGCTTTTTCATGCAATTAGAGTTGGCAACCATTCCAAGTTTCCTTCTTGGAGCAAAATTTGTTCTTTCTAGGATAAACCCATGTCGGATTACTACTTCTTTTTTTTGTGGTCCACTACTTATCCAGATGTTTAATTCTACGAGGGCTTGTCTTCCACAATTTGTAAAGGGACAGTTTTGTCGAGGTTTCTGGAAGTGATTTTTTTTTGTTTGTTTGAGGAGCATGATTTGATACAATTCAATTCAATTACGGATGTCTGCTTATTCATATTTGTGGATTGAGAAGGGCCATTGAATTTGTTCTTCTGTAAGAATTCTATTTTTCTTCGATCTTTGAGGAGACAATATTATTTTTTCATAAACAAAATGATCCTGCGTTCGGCTATCCTTTTGCGATACCCACTTCTAAATTTACCCTTTCGGAATTCATTAACGTACCCAAGAGGTGATTCTGATGTCCAAATTAAATTCTTCTTCTTCTTCTTTATTCTTTGTTGGGGTTTCTTCTCTTTGCTCTGGAGCTCTCATTTGGCTTTTGATTTCGAAAATCATTTTTTCTTAATTGTCTAGTATACCCTTTTGTTCTCTTCGAATTTAACATTCGTGCCACTGGTTCTTCAGCTGCTAGATTGAGAAACGTATCTTCTCCTGCTACATCATCTCTGGTTCTAAGGAAGAAGTTAGAGCGCCGTCGTTTTGATTGCCGAGTTTTGTCTTTGCACCAAGGTGAATAGACTATATAACCTCTGTTGTTTGACCAAAAAACCCCTTCCAACCTTCTCATATTTTTGGTCCTCTGCCTCGTTCGAATATTCTGTTACAATATGAGTCTTTTTTTGGTTGCATCAGCCGATCTTTCTATTTTTAGTCGTAGACTCTGGTGTTTTCTCCATACATGATTGTGATTTTACCAAAATACCCTTGACCTCTCGTCAAATTTCGATGCTCTTAGCAGTGACTTGAGACGGTCCCTTACTAATCTGTTTTTTATGTTGTGGTGAGGATGTTAATTGATATGAACATATTGATTAGAGCCCTTCTCTTGTAGCTTGTTATCCATACTAATAAGGTTCCCTATGTGCACCAACTGATTTCATTGGCATAATAAGGTGCTTCATTGTTTGGTTTTTGGCTTGTGATTTGAACTTGGTGTAATGTTTTGTCTGATAATCTGCAGTTGATCAGGAGAAAGCGCCGGAATCAGCAAAGATGACGGTCACACCAAAGATCAACATCAACGACGGCAACCTGGTGGTTCACGGGAAGACCATATTAACTGGAGTGCCTGATAACATTGTGCTTACTCCTGGTTCAGGTGTGGGATTAGTTGAGGGTGCTTTCCTAGGGGCCTCAGCTGAACATAGCAAAAGCTTGCATGTCTTCCCTGTTGGCAACTTAGAGTAAGCACTTGAATTGCCCTAATTGATGATTTGATCTTTTAGCTAAAATCATTGTTTAGAAATAGGAAATAATTTGATGTGAAATCTTATCAAACTGGTTGTTCTTCTGGTTTGCTTTCATTTGGAGTAGTTTAAAATGAGTAGTCACTTGATTGTATAGTTGTTAGAGTTATGTTTAAAATGAGTAATCATTTGATTGTATAGTTGCTGGATTTATGTTTGCTTCGAGGATTAATGTTTTTGTTGTTGATTCTTGTAAAGGGGACTTCGCTTTATGTGCCTCTTCCGCTTTAAGCTGTGGTGGATGACTCAGAGAATGGGGACCTGTGGAAAGGACATTCCTTTAGAGACACAGTTTATGCTCGTTGAGAGCAAAGACACGACAGAAGGCGAGCGTGAAGATGCTCCAATCATCTACACGGTGTTCCTCCCTCTACTTGAAGGCCAGTTCCGAGCTGCCCTTCAAGGAAATGACAAGAATGAACTGGAGATCTGCCTTGAGAGTGGTGAGTTTTTGCTCATGTCCATCGAAAAATAATTTGGTGTAGCTAAATTGCATCCTGCTTTCCCCATTGTTTATGTTCATATCTCCAATTAAAGCCAGTACCATCCCATTCATCATTAGAAGGAGAGTAGGTGAACTATGAGGCGGGGTGGAGCTGGTGCTAGTGCAAACGCATGTTAGAAAAGGAAGAGTTCGAAACAACCGAAACGATCTTGTTTTTGTGATCTCATTATGCAGGAGATAATGCGGTTGTGACCAATCAAGGGATGTACCTTGTATACATTCATGCGGGGACCAATCCGTTTCAAGTCATCAACCAGGCTGTCAAGTATGTATTCTTTCCAGCTCAGTATACTTGATTTTTGCTAACGCCACAGCTTCCTTGCCCTCTTTATTGTGATGCAGTGCTTGCAGCATTATTGGTTACTCAATAGTGTTATTGCAAAATGTCTACCAATTTTTTGTTTTATTTATTTGTTTTTTTAATTTTTGGATTTAAATGAGATGCCTATACTCTCTTAACTAACAATGATCTTTTTGTACTTTTGCTTTGAATAGAGCTGTAGAGAAACATTTGCAAACTTTCCACCACCGTGAGAGGAAAAAGGTATGGCAATTTCTCTTGCTTGATGATGGCTTGCAATATTTATATGAACTGCAATAGTAACCTGGTTGTGTTGGTTCTTCTTTTAGTTACCCTCAATCCTTGATTGGTTTGGCTGGTGCACGTGGGATGCATTTTACACTGATGTCACAGCTGAGGGTGTGGAAGAAGGTCTTAGAAGGTAAAAGACGGAAAATCTTCCTTGTCTTGCTATTCAAAAGAGATGCATTGTTATGTCAGATGTACTTAAGTTGCAACGATTTTGTTGCAGCTTGGCTGAAGGTGGCACTCCTCCTCGTTTCCTAATCATTGATGATGGTTGGCAACAGATTGGTAGTCAAGCCTCGCAAACTGATTGTGTTGTGCAGGAGGGAGCACAGTAAGTGGTTTCTTCTTCCTCACAATCTGAAATAAAATTTCGCAAAGTTAAAATCATAGTTAAATCTTTTGGCTAATGAATAATATTGTCTGGTTGCCTTTACTCATTTCATTGGTTTTGGGTATCATAGTTAAATCTTTTGGCTAATGAATAATATTGTCTGGTTGCCTTTACTCATTTCATTGGTTTTGGGACTTCAAAGAGTTAAGCAGACATTATTTTCCCATCATCACCTGGATATTATTTCTTTATAAGCATTATCTACAATATTTTGGTTATGTAAATTGGTGTCAATAATGTTGATGCTAGTAGGTAATCTGCTTTTATCCATCAAGTGTTATTCACTTGGGACTGTTCTTGTCTTGCAGATTCGCAAACAGGCTGACTGGAATAAAAGAAAACCAGAAATTTCAGAAGCAGAAAAATGAGGAACAAGGCTCTGGCTTGAAGCAAGTTGTTGACGATGCCAAGCAGAAGCACAATGTGAAGTAAGTTTTACTTGTATCTTGTATGCATCTGCATCAAGTCGACAACTGCAACTTGTTTAAAGCTAGGATGATCTTCTCTTTTTGATTAATAATTTTACCATCAACACTGTACAAAGAGGCACATTTCCGAGTTTAGATTTTTGTACCTGTTTTTCCTCTTTTAATGACAGGCACTTAGCCATTTCAATTCTAATATTAAGCCCATCAAGAAGAGCTGAAAGTGTGTAGATACAAGTGTCTTTTTCTTGAAGTATAACACAAGCCATATAGCTCTTGAAAGGAGATTAAGTTTTTATATGACCTCTTGGTGCAGGTTTGTCTATGTATGGCACGCACTAGCAGGATACTGGGGAGGTGTGGAACCAACAGGTGCTGGTCTGGAGCATTATGACCCTTCTTTGGCGTATCCTGTCTCGTCACCTGGTGTAATGGGCAATCAGCCAGATATAGTGATGGATAGTCTTGCTGTCCATGGTTTGGGTCTGGTACACCCAAAGAAGGTCTTCAACTTCTACAATGAGCTTCATTCTTACCTGGCTTCTTGTGGAGTAGACGGTGTTAAAGTGGACGTGCAGAACATCATTGAGACCCTTGGAGCTGGCCATGGTGGTCGGGTGTCTCTTACTCGCAGCTACCATCAGGCCCTTGAAGCTTCTGTTGCTCGAAACTTCCCTGACAATGGATGTATAGCATGTATGTGCCATAACACTGATGGAATTTACAGTGCTAAGCAGACTGCTGTGGTTAGAGCATCTGATGACTTTTACCCGCGTGATCCGGCCTCCCACACCATACATATATCTTCTGTGGCATACAACTCATTGTTTCTCGGAGAATTTATGCAACCTGACTGGGATATGTTTCATGTGAGTTTAATCACGCACATTTTTTTATCCTAATAGTTCTGTATCTATCAACTTTTTGGTATTTAGTACATGTTAAAATAGCATTTGCTATTGTAATACCTGAAGTACTTATGACTGAGTTATGGTGCAGAGTTTACATCCAGCTGCTGAGTATCATGCAGCAGCTCGAGCAGTCGGAGGATGTGCGATCTATGTTAGGTAAATTCATATACGTCCTCACCTGATTAATAATAGTTGCTTAACATCATTAGGATAAACTTTAATGTTGATCTGTTATGAACTTTGACACAGTGACAAGCCTGGAAATCACAACTTTGAGCTTTTGAAAAAGTTAGTCCTGCCAGATGGCTCTGTACTTCGGGCAAGGTTGCCTGGCCGGCCCACACGGGACTGTCTATTTGTTGATCCAGCCAGAGATGGAAAAAGGTTTGCAATCCTGCTCGAACATTCAATTTTATTTCTCATATTAGAATTGGGATTGTTGAGATTACTAACAACACAATACTCTGCAGCTTACTCAAGATCTGGAATGTAAACAAATGTACGGGTGTGGTTGGTGTATTCAACTGCCAAGGTGCTGGTTGGTGCAAAGTGGTGAAAAAGACGCGCATTCACGATGAATCTCCCGGCATACTCACTGCTTCTGTTCAAGCCACTGATGTGGACTCCATATCTGAAATTGCGGGTGCCAATTGGAATGGGGAAACAATAGTCTATGCCTACAGAGCAGGTAACATTCGCGTCTGTGCTAGTTCCCCTTATGTTGAACCCTTTTTGAGTGTGTGAAGGAATTATATATGGAAAAACTTTGAAGTTCAATTGGTTCTTAAACTGAATCTTATTATTGCAGGGGACATCTTGAGGCTACCAAAGGGTGCTTCCTTGCCTGTGACATTAAAAGTTCGCGAATATGAACTCTTCCATTTCTCTCCTGTGGAGGTGAGGCTTTGTAAAGGATTATATCTATGCCTTTGCACTTAGTATATACTTTAACTTGAACTAACTATAAAATTTTAATAATGCAGGAAATTGCGGCAAACGTCTCCTTTGCACCAATTGGTCTGCTGAACATGTTCAACAGTGGTGGAGCTGTCGACAAGTTTGAGGTTCAACTTCTTACGCCAGAAAACAAACCAACAAACTGCAACGGAAATGTCACATCCGAAAACTCTGGATCTCCAAGTGATGAAAGACACGCCACCGCAAAGGTCAGCATGGAAGTCAGGGGTTGCGGCAGATTTGGGGCTTACACGTCTCAACGCCCGCTGAGATGCACTGTGGATGGTTCTGAAACCGAGTTCGAATATGAAGCTACAAACGGATTGGTTTCTATTGTCCTTCCTGTTCCAAAGGAAGAGCTGTATCGATGGAAAGTCGAAATTGTAGTGTAATGTAGATTTATGTATCGCTGGTTGAATCCGTTCCTCGGTTAAGGGGTTCATAGTTACTGTCTCTTATGGTTGTGGCTTAAATTTTTATGGATGAACCAGATGGCAAGGGATGAAAAGCAAAGAGTGGTTGTATCCTAGGTAGTTAGGCGTGGGGGTGAAAATGGGAGAATTTGGGGTCTGAGGAGACAGTTTTGTATCACTTACATTTGCTTCCAAATAAAGCTGTCGATCTTTTGTATTTGTTCCTACATTGTTTGCTCTGCTAGTTTCATTCACCCTTTAAGTACTAGTATCCCTAAAATCTTCATGGGCAACATGTAAATTGTGCAATGAAAACTTGATCTCCAAAAGAGAATGAGCACACACGTAGACAAAGAAAGTTTAAAGTTACAAGGAAAATATAAAAAGGTACTGAACAAATCCGCTATTATTAATTGGATAATACTTTTCACCATCAAAGAGAGTTTTGATATTCTGTTTAGAGATTGAGTCAATTTAACCTAGCGTGCGTACATAAGCCAAATCAATCCTGGTAATTAAGATTTAAGATGCAAAATCTAAGAGAGTCCTGGGGGAAGAAATGATATATCTTAATGGATTATCTACACGAGTTCTACAAGAAATAGGGTGTATCATTTGGCTTTGATGAGGTCAACAGCTTTCCACTAGAGATTCAATCAAATGTCTTGTAACTTCTAGGCCGACTAGGTGAAACATGTTTGGTGTGAAAACAGATCAAAACTTTTATTAGATGAATTTTTGTCTCTCGAATAGCATCTACCTGAATCGAATAGAGATTAGTTTGAGTGTGATATGTGTTCATTTAAGAGTTCAACCATTTTTTATGCAAAAAATAAAATTTAAAATACTTTTATTGAGTTAGCGAGTTAATATTTAGTTTCATCAAAAATAATTTTTTTTTTTTGGAAAATAAAAATAAGTTCTTTATAAAACTTAGAATTTAATTAAAAAAATAAGTTCCTTACTGCCTCTGAATGGACCGACCACGTATTGGGGCTATTTTTCGCAGAAGTTCAAAATTAAGGACTATTTGGTTAAATTAAGAAGTCTGGTTCCATTCCGTCGACTTCTTCCATCTCTCCACTCTTCCCGCCATTGTTCTGCATTCTTGTTCCCCAGAAATTCCATCTTTTAACAACCTTATCGATCGGATTATGGTTCTTCACTTCAAATCCAACGGAATCCCGAACGTACGGTCGGAATAAATCAGGCGGGTTTTCAAAAATTTCGCCAATTGATGGAGGAATCAAGGGTTAAAGATTTGAACTTGATTGGGGATTCCGGACTGGTGAATGTAAGTCTGCTCCCTAAATTGTTGCTTTAGTCGTGGCGACGGAGATGTTTTCAAAAATTTTGTAGAATAGGGATTAGTTAGTCTTCTTCTTTGCCACTTTTGAATTTTCTGGCTCTAAGGCACTTTTCTTGATGTCAAATTACACACACCCGAACAGAGGAGTTGGATGAAGTTGCTATGTTGCTACATTGTTGGTTGTTTTTCTGGGATGTGTTTGATTCTCTTGTTTCTCTTGGCATTGAAAAATACTCCCTCCGTCCCATAATTATTGTCCACTTTGAGTTTTCATTTTTAATTCAAATTGTACTACAAGTGAAGTGACAATAATTTTGGAACAGAGGGAGTACTTCTTTCCTTCTACATTTGTTGTTACTCATCGAAGTTGGAATCCTCTTAAAGCATTGAATTTTAAGAGGGTTAATGTCATTGGGAGCATCATTCTTGAACTATGTCTGAAGAATTTCAAATTTCTTGAAAGTCTGGTAGTATGGGATTATGATGATTTAATTACTCTGGAAAGTTCGCGGTCCACATTTTGCATTGCAGGCTTGCAGCACCTGGAAATTTTACCATGTCCCTTACAATCCCTTACAATTTCATAAGGTATGCTAAGCAGCAACTCCCGGTTTCAGAGCCTGTACATGTCAACAACTGTTACGTTAAAAACGTTTTTTTTTTTTTTTTGGTACAAAGAAGGAGGCTAAAGCCTAAAACCGCTCTTTTTGGCTCAGCGCAATGGCATATTGTACAGTTTAGAGAAACTGTGATGTTTAATGTGACAGACTATTAGAAAAAACCGTATAGAAACATGGTGCTCAGAGACAAAGGGCAAAGTTGTGTGTTTATTGATGGATTACAATCCTGTATTTATACAAAAGAGATAGGTTCCTACCAAATCTATAGCATTAACTTATAGATAATAAATCAAATCAATATAATCTAATCAAATTCCCACAATTACTCTAACTCAGACACTGGAATTTTGCAACAAGATGATCAAGAAGACAACAAAAGTGTAAGAATTTTTCACATTTGGGCTTTCGCAGTGGTAGTATTTTGGTATTCGTTCTTAGTAGTAATTTAACTTTCGAACTTGGCTTGGTTAAGATTTCCTGACAATTTAGTTTCCTTTTTTTTTTTTTTTTTTTGGATGGCTTTGTGATGATTTGGAGTGAGACTAACTTATAACTTTGGAAATTGTTGGAATAGAGTATTTTTTTTTTTCAAAAGAAATTATTGACATTTGTCATAAGGCCTCTTCATAAGTACTGAAGCCAAAATAATGAGGGGGTTGGAAGAGTTGGTGGAAGGAAACCTATACTGAAGACTATCTTGAATTGCTTGCAATATTTGCTGAAAATTGAAGCCACTGGTCATTTATTTCTTTATCATTGCTTGGTTTTTATCATTGTATTTCTACTGGTCATAAGTACAAAACCGAAGTACTATATGTATGAAAACACCATAGTTTCGAGTTTAAGTTTAGTCTCTAACGAGAAAGAACTTACAAGGAGAATGTTTAAGTTCTCCTTGGCGTTCGGTCCTAGCCTTCTAGGCATTTTGCATGTCCTCATGTATCCACAAACAAAGCAAATGTATGTTGATCAACTTAATTAGAAATAAAGATAACAACATTTCAAAAATTATTTTCCTGAATTTCATAAATTTTATACCCTAGCTCTGTCCCAAAAAATAGTCCACATTGAGTTAATATTGATATTTGTACTAAAAATAATTTAAATCTGAAAAATTAATGTAAACTATTTTCCTGAGACAAAGAAAGTAGTATGTTTTCATCTTATAAGATTGTATAACGAAGGTTTGCGTAGCGTAGCTACTAAATAATAATAAAGCCTGCCTAATGTTCGGGTTATTGAATGCTACATTTGCCTCGAAAAAATAGTTCATTGAGTTTTTAAAAATCATATATATTAATGCAGTGGAGATTTGCGGCACTTGTTCCGTTTGCAGAAGCCGAATTTAATAATTGGAGAAAAGGAGCTCATTTAGACCACCGTAATTTTTGGCGTGTAGTTTTTAGTTTTCACCTATTTTCCATTCTATCTTTAACGATTAAGATGTATTTAAGTCTGAATTTTAAAAGCTGTGAACAGAAGATAATTTTTATCCCTTATTTGTTGCGAAGTAATTTATTTTGTGAGAGTCCCGTAAATTTATTATTCTGAAGTTGTATTTTCGTCGAATTTCTATCTCATTAGATTTTTTTAAAAATGCCAACAGAAGATAATGTGTATCCAGTATTTGTTGGGATATGATTTGTTCTGCGAGAGTGCATTATTTTTCGACTATAAAATGATCACCAGTAGGTATTACAGAATCCACACTGCTCGATATTCTTAGGTATTTTTTAGAGAGTTGCTTTTAATTTTTTTTTTTTTGATATTGTTTGTATTAACTATATGATTTTAATTTGTTGCAAATTTGTCGTCGTTTACAGAAATTTGCGATGGATTTTGAGTTCAACTCTACAGTGTCGGAAGATGTTGCTACGAAAGGATTGGTATTTTTTCATTACCTACATGTGCTTTTGATTTGGCCTTTTTTTTTGCTTATTTTTAATTTCAATCCACAATTGTTCATTCGGTCGAGGTATATGTTGTGTAATATTTTTTTTAAAAAATTAATATTGTTGTTTCAGAAAATCTCCAGTCGAATGCCGTCATTGTTTAGTAGGAGAAATCCACGAGGATATGTTTACCTTCACATTGACTTTGGTGATTTTTATGTGAAGTTGCTTATCACACGTAAAGGTTGGGGACGTCTTTGTTGCCGTAGATTCTTAGAATTCATTCGATGCAGTGGTCTGGTTCTTGGATCCAAATTTCATATCATAGTAGTTGAGGACTACATACTAAAATTTATCACTTATGATCGTTGTGGGGTTCAAAATTTTGATTATTGCTGTCAACCTATATTGTCAAGAGGTGTACCATTTTGTCTTGAAATAGTTGATGGCTCTTATGATAAAGCGGTTAGTTCATTTCTGTTGATATGATTGAATAATTATTGATATTCATCATTTTATTTTATAAATTTACAAATTTCTATTTTTGCAGTTGATATCGAAAACTTTTTGGTCGTATTTTATGTTTACAAGACCTCATGATCGTTTCATGGTGGATGATGATGAAGTCATATGGCATTTTGATTTGGCAAGGGATTCTAGTGAGATTGTTGGTTTTAGTGGAATGCTATGGAAAACTTTCTATAGATCTTGGGATATTAACGTCGGATATCATGTTGTGATTTCGTTGACCGGTGACAAATCTTTCTGTGCTACAATTTTTGATCCTTCTGGATTCTTGGTGTAGAATTCTTATGTATCTTCTGATTTGTCTGATGGTTACTTGTAATTTTTATGATTACAGAAAAAAATAATTATGATTTAATTGTCATTTATTTATATACTTTGTTTCTCATATTACCTTATATTGTCGGGTGGTGATGATGAACCTTTCTCAATGTTTCCCTATGTTCGTGATAATTTTTATCATTATCACCTCGATGAACAGGTTATCATCACCGGTAAAATGGTGAGTGATTAATTTAAAACCCTATGCTGATGATTTTTCTTTTTTCTTTTGGTTTTAAATTCGTGTAATTCATGTTTATTTTTTTTTTGTTAATTATTGAGTTTTAATCGTTTGATTACTTTTTGTGTTTTGTCTTTTTCAACAACCAGTCCCAACTTACTTGGTTGTTCGTCATGGTTTAATGGGAAAATCAAGAGCTCTTCCGTTTTATGATGGATATCCCAAAACTTTTGATATGGATCTTCACTACGGTGATTTTGAAGTACATTACAATGATCAGGCTGTCTGTGCAGTTAATATTCACGGTAATTGGTTTGGATTTTTTGAGAAAACTAATATAAACATCGGCACTAGGCTTATAATATCAATTGAAAGCAACTTATTTGAGGAAGATTCTTCAGTTTTGGTACTCTCTGTAAAACAATTCAATCGATTTGATGATCTTGATTGAAATTGTTCTTCGTTGAACTTCGATCTTGGTTTTAATTTGGACATTATTCTTTCGTTTTTAGTTTTTTCCGTATAGATTAATTTAATATTTTGGTAATATAAGCAAATTTTCATGGTCATTTGAGATTATTATTTTTACATTTCAGATCAATATTTATGCTTATGATTTTTAATATATTATATATCAGTTTGTTTGTTTTTTATATATGGTTATATCAAATTGTATATAAAATCCTACTTAATCCATTTTTTTTTTTTGAAAAAGATAACATATTCACTAAATTGTATTAGAGTAACAGTTATTGTAAAAATTTACCACTAATAAAATAATATCGGACGATAAAATTTCAAAATTATACATAAGGTTTATTAGAAAATATAATCATAAAATTAAATCAAGGTATGAAAAAATGTAGATGTGTTTTTTCTATATAAGAAAAAACTAATCAAAATTAAACTTTAATACTTAGAAAATTTTTTAAAGTTAATAAAGGATATTTTATGTGCTTCAGTTTTCACGTTTTTCTTTTTTTTTTTTTTTGGTAAAACTGTGAAGTTTTATTTCTTAGTGCTCAAGAAAACTGTACACATTTACAACTTGATCAATCCCATAAACTTAAACTGAAATATGGACTCCTACTGACTACAAACAACACTGATTAGCCCTGCTTCTACATCTCAAATGCATATGGAATTTCCTGATCAAATCAGCGTTCATGGTTTCAAACCTCTTCTTTGGATTCTGCACTGGCTTGCCAATTCTTCTGTTGTTACTTTCAGTCCATATGTGGTATATTAGGGCATTCAACCCTGCATACAACACTCTTTGCTTCACCTGATTTGATTTCCATATGGCCAAAACATCCTGTACTTTGAGTTGCTTAATCTTCTTCCTGAACCCTATCCATTCCTGCAATTCTGTCATCATCTCTCTGGAATATGCACATTTAAAGAACATGTGCTTACTGCTATCAATCTCCTTTTGGCACAATCCACAAGTAGCATTCTGTATATTCAGTTGCATTTTGATCAGCCTCTCTGCAGTGAGCTGTCGATCCTGCCAAGCTAATCAGCTCAGGAAGCTGTGTTTTGGTTGATCAGCTTTAGTCCAAATGATCTTTGCAGGTGGATACTTCCTTCTTTCCCCCTGTAGCCATGTGTATCCACTCCTTGCTGAGTATTGCTTCCCTCCATCTCCTTGCCATTGTTCATTCTGGACTCCAGTTTTCAGCATATCTCTAACTTTCATCAACTTTTTCAGATGCCAGCTACAATCCTGTAGCTGCTTGTACTCCCATATATTGTTGTCTTTTAGGTAGTAAGTGTGCATCCACTTAACCCAAAGACTCTCCTTGTTTTTTGCCAAATCCCGTAACTGTTTTCCAATCAATGCTGTATTCCATTGGCTAGGTTTCTTTATGTTTAATCCACCTTGCTGTTTCCTGCAACACAAGTTATCCCAAGCGACCAAAGCCCAACTCTTACCATTCTCCATTTTTCCCCAAAGATAATTCCTACAAGCGTAGGTTACTTGTTGAATTACACTTTAAGGAATCATAAAAATGCTTGTCCAATAAGAGTTCAGACCAAGCAACACACTGTTCACCAACAATGTTCTCCCTGCATAAGATAAGTTTCTAGCTGACCAACTTTGAATCCTAGCAATCACCTTGTCCACCAAAACTTGGCAGTCATAGTTGAACCAAACAGTAGGTGAAATAGGAATTCAAGGTATTTCATTGGAAAGTTGGCTATCTCAAAACCCATTATTTGGTGTATCTCCTCCTCCACTGCTTCAGTTCTGCCACCAAAGTAGAGATTGGATTTGCCAACATTAACTGTGAGGCCAATTGTGGTAGCAAACTGAGTTAGAACAGCTTTTATCCTCCTGATGGTACTAGTTTCAGCTCCACAAAAGATGAGCAGATCATCTGCAAATCATAGTGAAGTGATTTGGAGCTTCTCACAGTAGGGATGGTATACAAAAGCACCTTTGCTCACCTCCATCTTTAACATTCTCGTCAGGTATTCCATGACTAACACAAATAATAATGGAGACATTGGATCTCCTTGCCTCAACCCTCTTCTACCATGAAAATAGCAAGTACTGTTTCCATTGATGTTCAATGAATATGAACATGTAGTAATACATGTCATAATCCAATGAATAAACCTACTGGGGAAGCCATATTCTTTGAGCATTTCATCAATAAAATCCCAATGCACTGAGTCATAAGCTTTTTTCAGATTCACTTTCATTACATAGCTAGGAGTTGTACCTTTCCTCCTGTACAATTTGATTAATTCCTGAGCAAGCAGTATATTGTGCAAGATGAGTCTGTACTGTATGAATGCCCCTTGGTTAAGATCCACCGAATCTGGGAGTACTTTGTTGAGCCTTTCACATATCATTTTGGAGATACATTTATATATAGTGTTGCAGCAAGAGATTGGCCTATATTCAGTTGCAGTCCTTGGAGAACCAGTTTTTGGAATTAGAGAGATCAGGGTGGTATTGAGTTGCTTCAACAACTTTCCTGTCCTGAAGAACTCCAAGATTGCTTCACTGATCTCCTGACCAATAAAAGACCACCACTTTCTGTAAAAACCACTTCCATAACCATCTGGTCCAGCACTTTTATTCACATCAATTGCAAACATTGCTCTTTTCACATCATCAGGAGTAAACTCTTCAGTTAGGAGTAACTGTTGATCTACGGACAGTTTATTTCCAAAGCTGCAAATTTCACTTCTGGATGATTGTCTTTCTACTTCAACACCAAGCAAATTCTGATAGTAATCAAGAAAGTGCTTCTCCACATCTGGCCAGTGCTCTACTAACTTCCCTTGATCATCAATGAAAGACCTTATTCTATTCCGGTTAGCTTTTTGTTTCAAGCAAGCATGAAAGAATTTGGTATTCATATCACCTTCCTTCAACCATCTTTCCTTCAGTTTTTGTTTCCAAAAGCTGATAGCTGCTTGACTGGTGATTTTATACTCCTCTACTATAGTCTTTTCCTTCTCTTGCAGATCATTATTGGCAGGATCACTCATCAATTCCAGTTGAATTCTTTCCATCTACATTCTACATTCCTTTTATTTATTTCAATATCCGCAATATGATGAGAATTCAACTCTTTCAACCTGGATTTCAACAGTTTCTGTCTTTTCACCACTTGGAACTGTTTACAGCCCTTCACATACTGAGTCTAGCCCTCTTTAACAATCTCCACAAACTTTGGATGTTCCATCCACATATTAAAGAACTTAAAAGATCTTTTAGTTACCTGATTAGTATCTCCCCATCTGATCATCAATGGACAGTGGTCAGATACACCAGCAGGCAACATTGTGACATAACTTTCTGAGTACTTGTTGAGCCAATCATAGTTGACCAAAGCTCTATCAAGTTTTTCCATGATCCTCATAGTGCCTAACTGCTTATTGTTCCAAGTAAAAGCAGCGCCATATGTTTCCAATTGCCATACTTCACATTCTTCTATCATCCTTGTAAACTCCTTAGTATCATTATTGGTTTCATTCCTCCCCCCTAGTCTTTCCTCCTTCTTCAGAATACAATTCCAGTCACCTATCAATACCCATGCATCTTGTATACCTCTAGATAAACCAATAAGTTCATCCCAAAGTAACATCCTCCCTTGCACTGTGTAATCAGCATATACCATAGTCAAGGTGAACTGTTTTCCTTGTTCTTTGACCGCACAGTGTATGTACTGTTTGGTGCATTTAAGCAGCTTCATCTGGTACATTCCTTTTTTCCACATGATTAATATTCTCACTTTCTCCTACTTTCCATGATTACTAAAATAATCATAGTCTTTCCATCTATTCCTCATCAACTCATCAGTCTTTTCTCCTGTTAATTTGGTTTCCAGCAGTCCAGCAATTCCAATCTTATTTGCATAAAGAATGTTTGTAACTTCTCTATGCTTCAGGGAACTATTAAGTCCCCTTATATTCCAACTGATTAGGTTATACATGATTACTAGGCCCTGGATCAGGGGGGCTAGTATCATTATAATATATAACATTTACTGATTTCAATTTTTCACAGACTCTACTATCAGCCATCTTCACACCTTTATGGTTCAGAATCTGAATTCCTCCACTATTGTTGCTTCCTCTACTCTGCTTCCCTTCTGAGGTTGCTTTTTTCATTCCATTCATACCATTCTTTGCAGTGTTACCACTTTTTTGAACTGTCTTCACACCAGTACTAACTCTTACTGGACTGTGATCTATGCTTTGGTTGTTCTGCTGCACCACACTGATCTGCTCAACAGGCTTCTCATCCTGAGTTTTCACCCATTTTTCCTGGAATGGAATCCTGCATTCTCAGTGTCATATCCAAAACCTTTATAATTCTTGCATCTTATAGGCCTCCATTCATATTTAACTACTTGCTCTTGTAAGTTGCCCTGTTCATCTTGGAACCAAACAACATCCTGGACTTTTTCTTTGATCTCTACCTCCACTGGTACTCTGGCAAAGTTTGTTTTATCTTTCTAGCTGTGCTCTCATCCATCTCATGGGGCTTACCAATTGCACTCATGATTCTACTCAGTGTAGTAGGATTCCAGTATTTGAGCTTCAGTCTTGCTAGCTGAATCCAAACTGGTACCTTAAACACTTCATCCATACGTACTTCATCCTCTACTGACCAATTCTACACAATAAAAGGTCTGCTATCAAAATGATACAGATTGTACTTTAATACCTCCTCTTTGGCCTCCATAGTAGTAAATCTTACAACATAAACTCCATTCTCAAGCAGAATTACTTTATCCACACCAAGCCTCCCCCAATTCCTTCGTACAAAACCATTAATAACAGCAAACGAAGGTCTTGCTCCCAACACAAAGCAAAAAACAGAGGATTTCCAATAATTTACTTCATTTTGTATTTCCTCCTGTGTAATTTTCCCCATACAAAGAGTACCTGATATTTCCGGTTCAATAAATCTGAGTTTCCTCTCTGGACTACGTAATTTCTTTGAATCAAAATTTCTCCAGTTCTTGATTTCAGTTTCTTTCATCAAATCAGTAGAGATATCGTGTTTTCTAGCCTCCAACTTCTCATTAACAGATACGATTTTGTTCTTCCCTAGCATTAATTGCCGTTCAGACATAGCAATAAATACAGAATTAGGTTTTCGTACCTCATTTTGTTCAGCTTGTCCAATGTGAATTTGCCTTTCTGATTACTCTTTTCATCAATCGGTTGTTCCTCAGCTACAGTTGGAGCTGTCTCTCCTTGCTTCTTTGTTTTTTTTCCCATGACGATGGAGATACAATTTTCACTAATTATTTTTTTGAGACAGATAATTGTTTAGAATACAAAGAAAGTAATATTTAGTTTTCACGTTTTACAAAGACTCTATTTCAATGTATATTACATTAATTGATACTCATCAGATCGTTACGACTTTTTGTGTACTTTATTTTTTAATATCTATACTAACCCTATATATTCATTCCTTTTCATTGTTTTAGTGAAGCAGTTCTATTCCGAATAAAAAATCTCTTTCATCTCCGTTAGATTTCTTCTATTATTGTCTTTTTGAGATTGAAGCATTTTCCATCTTACTATCAATATTCATCAATATTTTTGTTGTCCTCATTCGTCAAGCGAAGAAGGTAAACAAAATTTCAAATTCTTTGATTCCTTATTTCATCTTTTTTTTCTCTGTTTTTTTCATTGTGGCTATTCATTTCTCTGATGATAATGCTTCTGATTTATAACTTAGATTATTCTCTTGAGATATGGATCGTTATTTGCTGTGTGAAATTTGCTTTAATATATTTGCTAATATCGTTGTTTGGTTTGTTTTTAATGGCTTTAGCATGTATTGTAAATATTATGTCTCTTTGTTTGATTTTTCAACATGTTTATATAAGGAATATCTATAATTCAATTAAGGAATTTTCTGATTCGTTCATTTTTTAAATTTTTTTTGATACAGCTTAGGGTTCGAAATCATGTCTTTTAGATTTGAATGGTTGTACAAGGTTCATGATGATTTTGATGGTTTTTCAATGGTAAGTTTTACTCCTTCTAATATCTCATATCATTCTTTGATTTTAGTAGAAATATTAATTGATTTTTTATTTTTTATTTTTAATAATAATAGACTATCGCAAAGCCTTTGAGTGATCATTTCTTCGAATCAATTACCAATGTTATTAAGATTCGAACGGCAGTTGGACAATTCAATGTGGAGATTTCAGTTGTTGAAGACGAAAAGTTTGTTTTGAGTGAAGATAAATTTATGGATTTTGTAATTCATACCGATATTTCACCAGGATGTTGGTCGCATCTGGAATTTTTTGATAATCACGTTATTTATGCAACAAGTTTCGGTGGTCATGGTTTCCAGAATGAGTTATCAAATCATTTCACTCCGTTTGATCTAAAATGCTTAGTTACCGTTCAACCATCTGATATGATGTTAGACTACATGGTGTGTTATTTTTTTTTAAATATATTTAAGTGGGTATATTTTATAATGGATTGAATCATGCCGACATTTTTTTGACATTTAAGTCTTTTGCTTCAGGTAATCCCGAGTGTCTTTCAGAAAGCAATAAATTTGCCCGAAACTCAAGTTTTGTATGTCGTTTGTGATGGTTCCACGCTACACTTTGAATGGTATCATGATCAAGGGATTTTTGGGTTACGTGGAAAATATTGGATTGATTTTGTGAAATTTTATGAACTTCATATTGAAAAATGTATTCTGATGCTTACATATTTGGGTGGATGCACCTTTAAGGGAACCGTATTTAGTGCAAATGGTTTTCAGGTTTAAATTCTTGACCAATCTTCTGATTTCGGAGGTAGTTAATAATTTTGACTTTTTCTTACAAAACTACAGTTTCGTTGGATGTTTTTAATTTGTTATTAAATATAGCTTAACGTTATTATTATTGTGTTGTCTTATTATAAGATGAAGTGGTGACTTCTCAATTGATGATGAACATTAATAATCATAAATGGTGGAATTCTGTTATTTTTGTGTTTCAAAGGAATCATCCATAGGTGTTTGAATTTCAGAATCTTTATTTGGATATGTAAACTGAACTTTATGTAATTCCGTTTTTATTTTGTTTTTTTTTTATCATTTGTTCTGTATATCGTATTTACAAGTAATATTTTCAATTTAGCTACATTGTTTATTTTTTTGCTTTCATATTTATTTAAATAATTGTGTTGTTCTTTGTTACTTAGAAAGGTGATTTTAGATATATGTAACAGAGTATACCCTAAAGAAAAAAAAAAAAATCTAATATAGTACTGATGAATGTTTCACATCATTTTTCGAACTCAAGGTTACACCAAAGTAGTACAGTCTTAATTTCATAAGTTAAGATAAAACATATTCATGTTCAAATCGAATGCAATTATGTAATACTTTTAGTACGACTTTTATATTGTATAAATGTTAAATATCAAATAATTTCCACACCATTCATATTCCATTCGTATTTTATTCAGAAATTTTAATTTTTATTTATCATTCTCTTCATTGATTAATTGAATATTTAATAAATTATTTAAATTTATTTTTGGATATATATACTTATCGAAATAATATTATCTTTTATTTAAATTCAAATATTGCTCTTATTTTTTTCAATTTTTATTGATTTTAACATAAATTTTATTTAGAGTTTCAGTTACTGTCCATTCATATTATGATAAATATTCAATGTAGCCATGATTATCTCTATGTTTTTGTAAAGCAACTTGAAAGAACTTAAAACCAGTCAAATTTTTATTTATTTTTAGAAAATTCAGATTGAATATTTTATTATTAGTCCATTATCCAATTTAATTGACCCAATAATTATGATTTATTTAGGAATATTTTTTATGTTTTTAATAAAATAAATAGAATACCATTCGGCTTCTTATAATCTTCTTCCATAAAAAAACCCTAAATTCATTGTGAAAAAACTAAACCCACAATGTCTTTCAATGAGACATTTTTTGAGCATTTGCCAAATGAAATACTTCAAGAGATACTAACCAGGATTGATTGTGAGAGTGTGTCGAATTGTTTGATTGTCAAGAAGTCATGGAAAAATACCCTTGAAAATAAAAAAACCCTTGAAATTTTGAGAAGATATCATTGTAACTTTTGCGGTGAAAATATGTTATTTATTTGCGTGTCACCGGTTATTGATTCTGTGCCTAATAAAATCGAGATTGTGAAGAAAAGCACAAAGAGTGAGCATACAAAATTTTTGTGTAAGTCAGATACTCCAAGGTATGTGTGTCGCCAAAGTATTAACAGTGTTTTTCCTATCACTTCTGACCTCATTTGCTTCAAGCTCAATTATGGTATGGAAATCTTCAATCTTACGAATGGTCAATTTAAGAGTCTCACTCTTCCGGATCAACTTGGCGAGAATATAAAATTTGCTGATTGGGTCGTTTGGTTTCATGTCTAACCTGGAAGAGTACGTTGTTGTATGTCTCTGACCATGTATGCCATGTAACATGTATGCCCGGTGCAGAGGATGTTCTTCCCCAGCTATCATGCTGCTTTTTGAAATTGGAGGTTCTTTCCTTAGTACTGCGTGGTGAGAGAGCTAGAGGGGTATGAATCTCGCTTATTGTTTTTATTTGAGTTATATTCTTTCCCCCACCGTGCTTACTTCTAAGGTGGTGTTGACTTTCTATATATGTTGGGCCATGCTTGCTTTTCTTATTCCAGTTCGAAGGGAAACTTCCTCAACTATCTGCACTGAAGCAGTTATCTATAGATCTGGGGTTGTATTTTGAAGAAAGCTTGTCTACACTTTCTTCTTTCTTTAGGGCATCGCCTAACCTCGAGAAGTTCAAAATGAAGGTAATAGATATATGATCTAAATTTCTGTTCTTGTTTTAGTCAGAGTTATTCTTTTAAATTTGTGTTGGTAGCATGTATAGTATTGATTTCCTTAGAAGTGAGCATGTTTTGTTTTTTTGCAGTTGGGATCGCCGGTGAAAGAGTGGATTGAGAACGAGATAAATTACAGCGTCCAATATCTTAAAGTGGTTGAGATGTATGGATATAATGGTTACACCATTGAAGTGGACCTTATCAAGTGGTTCCTTAAAAATGTTGTTTCCCTTGAGAAGATTTCTGTTGATCCTTTTAATAACCTGGACATGCTACCTTCACCCTGGGACAATCAACCTGCCATATTTTGTGCAAAAGCTGAGATAAAACTTGAAGACAAGAGAAGGAAAAGCTCTAATTTTGGCGTTTGTTTCATTTGTTGCTCTCCGAGACCCATCAGTGTTTTGTTTTTGTTCCTGGGATGTGTTGATTTTGTTGCTGTCATTTGTTGCCCTTTTGGAAAAGCTCAATTTTTTGAAGGGATTAAGCTTGCGGTTTGTTGCTCTTCCGAGTTATTTGTGGTGGCCAATGACTATTTCTTCCCCAATATTCTTGATTCTTTCAAACGTTTCGGTTGTTGTTGTTTTTTCTTTTTTTCTTTCCCTTAATTTCTGGGAAGAACATTATGACAGAGTACAACTGAGCTGCATAAAACTGATGATCGGATTAGTGAGCTCCCAGATGAAATCCTTACTTGCATCTTATCGTTTCTAAAACTCAAAGAAGCTGGCAGAACTAGTGTTCTTTCCAAAAGATGGAAGCACGCCTGGACTTATGTTCCTGACCTTGATTTTGATACATTTACTATAGAATGCTACTGTGATAAGATATTCAGGTCCAAGCGCTTTGTGAGGTTACCTGCAAGGGGATCCAAAGAAATAAAGAGACTTAAAAGGGAAAGGTGCAAGTTTGTTAATTGGGTAAACAAGGTGGTAGACTCCCATCAAACCATGAGGTTGAACAAGTTCAGAATTTATAATCATTTCGATGATTCCTTTCGGGAGGATATGAATAAATGGCTTCAGTATGCCTTCAACAGGGGAGTGGAAAGGCTGGAAGTTGACCTGTGGAAGCTTGGCCTTCATCCGTCGTCCTCCTGTGGATCTTATGTTTTTCCTTCTACAATTGTTACTCAAAGAAGTTGGAGTTCTCTGAAAGTGTTAGTTTTTAACAACGTTAACGTCTCCGGGAGCGATCTTGAATCATTTTTGCACAATTGTAAGTTTATTGAAAGTCTGGTGGTACGGGAATCTTGTGGTTTAAAGACTCTGGAGGTTTTTGGTCCACAGCTTGCATTGCAGCACCTGGAAATTTTAAATTGTACCTTAGAGTCCATTACTGTGTGTAATGCTAATCTTTACTCGCTAAAGATTGATGTTACATCAAAACTAGTGCTTAAGAATGTCCCCAGCTCATTGAGATTCACTTTATGGACCATTGTCCCTGTGTAGAGGAAGTTCTTCCCCATCTAACATGCTGCTTTTCAAAACTGGAGGTTCTTTCCTTGACCTGGATCCTCTGAGTGCTGAAGAGGTTCTTGCTTATTGTTTTTATCTAATGAATTTTTTTTCCCCCACCTTGCTGAATTCTGAGTTAGTGTTTAATTCCTGTTTGGGCCATGTTTGTATCTGTAATTCCAGTTCAAAGGGAAACTTCCTATTTGCACTGAAGCAGTTATTCATAATACAAGAGAGACACGTTGGTGAGAGCATGTCTGGACTTTTTTCCTTCTTTAGGGCAGTACCGAACCTGGAGAAGTTCAAAATAAAGGTAGTAGACATATGCTCTACATTTCTTCTCTGGTTTTAGAAAGAGTTTGATATGAATCCTTGCGGATCCAACAGAACGTGACTCTTAAATTGCGGAAGCTTGTTTCAAATTACGGCATCAAGACTTGCTTTTGTTTCATCTATAACTCGCCAAGACAACCAACGACTCCAGGATATTTCGATTCAAGGATGGATTGAATAGAAAAATCAAAAGATGATAGACAAAAAGATGAAAGAAGTGTTTTCGGAACGAACTCTATCAGAATGTGTCAATTAAATTTCCAACTCGCGATGGAAACTCATCGATTTGTTCCAAGAGAACCACGAACTCACCATCCAAGTTAAAAAACACCAAATCTCGAACAAGAATAGCTGCACAGTTTGCCAGAAACTCAATTCAAGCTTATGCACAAAATTAATCTCCCAAGATTAACCAAAGAAAAAAAAAAGCACGTTCTTATCGATTCATCATCAAAATTCATCAAAATCACCCATCTCTCCTTAAAAATTCGGCCAAACACCCCAAACGGGTCTTTACAAAGCAAAGCCCAAATCCAAGGAAACCCTAATTAAATTTAAATCCTACTAGTAAAGCAATTAAAAAGACTACTTCTATTACAAGTAAAACTTTTATAATTGAAAATTACTTAAAAAACAAGTAAAAACCTTGCAACAAAAGTTACCATCAACTTCGTAAAATGATTAGGATTTTAGGGAAGCCTTAAACCCCTAAATCCACATCAGAGTTGTTATTCTCTTAAATTTGTGGTACCCTACCAATAATTTTTCGGTTAATTGAGCATGTTTTGTTTTGCAGCTGCGTTGCCCGTTGGAAAATATGAATGAGAATGGGAGCAACAGCAAGTTAGAGAATGACATAAATTACAGCGTCGAACATCTTAAAGTGGTTGAGGTATATGGATATAGTTGCCATACAATCAATGGAATTGGACCTGATCAAGTGGTTTCTCAAAAATGCATTTTCACTTGAGAAGATTACTGTTGATGCTTCTAGTATATTTTTTGACCGTTGGTACAACGAAACTGCAATATGTTGTGCAAAAGCTAAAAAAAGGATCCGATGGCAGAAGAAGGAGGGTTAAGCAGAAACTCGAGGAATTAATATTGCCTTCACATGTTAGATTAGAGATACTTTAGCTCTCAGCACACCAGAAGGAAGCGTTGTACTATCGAGGAGTAATGGGAGAAGTTGTGTCAATGCAATGACTCTTGATTTCTCACAAAGTGATCATAAAAACACATAGGTGTTTAGAATATATTTTTGCCTTTCGACTATTTAGGGTAGTATTTTGGGCATCACCCAAATAAATCATCAGGGTAATGGATTAGTTTTGGTTCAATTTCTCCGACTCTCATTATCCTTGGTTCTAATATTCCCTCCGTCTTATAATTATTGTTCAGTCTGAATTTTCATTTCTAGTTCAAATTGTATTAAAAATGAAATCTCAAACTGAATAATAATTTTGGGACGGAGGAAATAGTAGTTTTGCTTGGGGCATGTCCTTGTTGTTTTGCTTAGTAAAATTTTCAGATGTGCTTCTTATATCTTCTATCACAAATTTAGTGATGGACGACTTCTTATATGGCACATAATTTCTTATTTATCAAAAAAAAAAAAATTTCTCTTAAGAAAAAAACTCTCTCCGTCTTAAACAATAATCCACATAGTATTTTATTAATTGGAATACAATTTATAATTTAAAATAGAAATTATTTTTATGGAATAAGAGTAACTAGTAATATTTTCGATTTTTCGTCATGGACAATCCAATAAAACTATGGTTTCTTTAGAACCAAAATTCAAAAATGGGGAAAAATAAAAGAAAATTGCACACACACACACAAACAGAATAAAGGGGGGGGGTTTTTTTTTTTTTTTTTAAGTTGGGCTGATGGTGATAAATAAAAATACGAAATGGAAAAAGAAATTCAAAAGTTCAAACTAACCTTATAGAGAAGAATTAGGACAAATTTAATTATGTAAGTGTTACTAACCTATTGATAGTAATTGAGGAATTTTCAATCTGAAGTTTCAACCATCTTATGACTTTTTTAAAAAAAATAAATTGAACCAAATGGCAAGGATATTTACACGCATTTTCTTAATGGATTGCCTTTTTTTGTGTGTGTATGTGTGTGTAGGGAGTTGATGGGATTGGTAAGGTTTTGTTTGGGGGAAAGATAACGGAGGAAGAAGCTAAAAGCATGAACAAAAGGTGAGAGAATGCGATTATTATAGATTTTTAATTGTTTCATCGTTGCAAAAATTTTTTTTGCGTGTTTAAAACTTGCTTGTATTAGGATTGAGAAGATGAAATGCTTTGTTACCTCTTAGATTTTTTAGAGTACGTTTAAAATTCAAAATCTGTGACGTAATTGCTTTGTTTGGACAATAATGATTTTCTCTTTTCGAGAATTTTTATAGAAATGCTAGGTAGAGATGTGTTTTGGAGTGACATTAAGAATTTGGTTAAATGTAGCCAGCTTTGAATTTAGAAAGTTAAATAATGAACTTTTCATATGATAGATTGGAATTCTAAATTGGAATGGCTTAGGCAATGCTCACGCCAGGCCACCATTGCCAAATAATTGGCCTTTCGATCCCCTATCTGAAACAAAAAAGCTATGCTCAACCCTCTTCACCCCTAAAGAAAAAAAAAACTTTGTAGCATCTGGCTAATACTGGCTAATACATCTTTGCCATACCATACTGAAGTGCTCCTACTTCCCTATTTGTTGCAGCACTATCTGTTGCAGCAATTCCTACACCACTGTAAAGAGCTTTTACCTGCAATAGGTTTGTGTTGATCGCTATCCTGTAACCATAGTTCACCTTTCTCCTTATAGCCTGCGTCATGTTAAAAGCATTGCCATCAATGTTAATGGCAACGTCCGGTAACACCGTTGCTGCCATGCCATATCGAGGCATTTGCCGTGTTTGTATAGACAGGTTCTTTTCGTTTTGAACGCTTGATATGTCATGCTTCATTGCGCCATAGTAACAGTATGCTGCAGTAATGACCAGTGGTGATGATCAGGTTTCTGATGAATATCCCAGGATCCTATACTTCATTAGTGAAATTTCCATAGTCAGATGCTAAAACGGGCCCAACTAAAGCGTTTATATACTCTTTTCTTTTTCTTTTAGTAGTCCACTTTATAAAAAAGAGATGGAAAAAACTTGTTATTTTGATACATTTATCAATAATTTTACACACTTGAATCGCACATTTATCCTTCATCTTTAGCAGGAATCATGCACAATTCTTGCTCCTATACAATTTCAAATATTAAGACCACTTAGCTCGGAGGAGATATACCTTAATGTTTAGGTACCCCATGATTGGTTTTCTTTTTTGTTTCTTGGGCGGGGATTCACCCATTATTGGTTGCCTAACCAAAATTAATAAAGAAAGGCTTTCACCTTCAACAAGGGAAAATGTAATTTTTTTTAATTTTTTTTAAAACAAACAATTAAGGCTCTTTTTCGAATTCAAAAGGAATAGCACGAAATGCTGATTTCTTTGAAGAATTAAAAGGAACTTGATTATGAGGTTACAAAGCCAAAAGGGGGCTACATAGATGTCGTATTGGTTGGATCTTAACAACTCACCATTTACACCTGCTACTGTGGAACCACCAAAGAGATTACCTATACATCAGTCAAAAAAAATTCGACACCATCTGCAATAAACTACCACTTGATCGCAATGCCTGCCTATCAAGAAATGAAAAAATCTTCTTAAGGCTAGGGTAGCTTGGAACTTCTCGTGCAGTTAGCTCGGTAAGAGAATTGCTATGGTTGGAAGCTGAATCCTTCCATTTGGTCATGTGCATTGCACGAGGTCTGGTGGATTCCTTTCTATTTTACGTGCCCAGTTATCGAAAAGCTTATGTTCTTTGTGACTCACCCCTGCCATAGCATTCTTACATACTTGGCATACAGTACTCCATGTCATCACTTCTCTTGTTTGTTGACTGCATTATGTGGCCCCAAAAAAAAAAAAAATAGATCAAAGTTTTCTACTCATTTTGAGCAAGTATTTGTTCATCTAATGGTTAAATTGATACATAGACAAACACATCTTAAACAATGTTTTGCATAATGGTTCAGTCTCAATTTCATGTTTAAAAGATCTTGTAACATCATCTCAAGTTGAACTCAAAAGATATAAGGCGCCAAAGAAAAGAATAAAGGAGATGAAATCTTCTAAGTTGTAACAGATATGGCTGGAGGTTAGTTTCCTCTAAGTTGTAACAGGTGACTATTTCATGTAACACAGCTGTAGATAGTAAAAATTACCATTCAACATTCAGTTACCCTTTCTAGAGGAAAACCTTATCCCTATAACAAGTTCTGTTCACTTTTATGTTTAGTGTAGTTAGGAATATAGAAAACTCTCTTCATTGATTAATTCATACACACATACACGGTATATATACATATATATATACACACACACAAGATAAACCCTAATACACAATTACTATCGTAAATACATATTTACTGCAATACGCACCCTCAAATTCAGGTCGAAGAAGCAAGAAGCCGAAGTTTGTCTCGAAAATGAACTCAGTTGGAATGCCAGATGTTGATAGATAAGATTGTTAGCAGAATTAAATGTTGGAGCACTAGGAAGTTATCTTATGCTACTAGACTGCTTTTGGTTAACTCTGTATTGTCTCATTTACATGTGTATTGGGCCTCGGCGTTTATCTTGCCTCTATCGCAGACAGAATTAAAGGACACTGCAGGGAGTTCCTATGGGGCACAAATGAGGCAGGAAGATATACTTCTCTGGTTGGATGGGAGATAGTTTGTTGCAAGAAGCAGAATGGTGGACTGGGGCTGAAAGATGCTCGTATATGGAATGATGTTGCTGTCTTGAAACAAATCTTGTGATTGGCTCAAAAAAAAGGACAACTTATGGGTCAAATGGACCCATGAACTGTACTTAAAGAAGGTTGATATATGGTAGGTTCAAGGCAACCAGGACAGTGGATGGCATTGGAAACAAATCCTCAAGCTGAGGGATAAGGGTAAAGACAAGTTTGTGAATGGTAGATGGAAAAGGAATGCTACTGGCCAGTATCGCGTAGCTGGAGGGTATGAATGGATGCTAGGCCAGAAACAGAAAATGATTGCTGCAAAGTGGATCTGGTCTAGGATGAATGTGCCTAAACATTCATTCATGGCCTGGTTATGTATCCATCAGAAAATTTGGACAAAAGACAGGCTGTTGAAGCTGAATATTGGAGTGGATGATGCAACATGTATCCTGTGTCAAAAAGAAGAGGAAAGTGTAGCCCATTTATTCTTTGAATGTGAGTTTTCTACTGGAATCATTGCAAGGATGAAGCAGTGGTTAGGGCTGAGAACTTTAAATTCACTGTTAGGAGTGGAAAATGGAGGCAGGAGATGAACTATATTTGGCAAAAAACAAGGATTAAAAAGAAGCTGCTGGCTGCTGTAGTGACTGCAAGTATTTACCAAGTGTGGCAAGAGAGGAACAGAAGGATTTTCAAACAAAAAAGTACTATGGAGGAATGTGTGCACAGGATCAAACAGGAAGTGTGGATTAGACTCCAATTCTGTTATACCAATAGTGCTACTATTGTAGAGAAAAATCTTATTGACAGGTTGTGTATAGAAAGTAGCAACACAGGGTGAATGTAATAGAAAGAGGAAAGGGTTGTAAAGTTTGGCAGTTTCCCAAAATGGGTAATAAAATCATTTACTTTTTTTACCAAAAAAAAAAGAATGTCAGCAACTTGATCAGCAGCAGACAAGGAGTGAATCGAAATAAACTTCCGACGAACATGATCATGGACAAAGTGAAAATCCACCTCAACATGTCGTGTACGTGTATGAAAAACCGGATTGGCAGCAAGGAAAACGGCACTCCGTTTATCACACCAAACAGAGGGAGAGCAGCGTAAAGAGACAGCCAACTCTGACAAGAGATGACACAACTTCATTAGTTTCTGCCAATGCCAACATGCTCCTTTAGGGGGATGAAAGTCCCAAACATTCTGATTTTTGAAATAGTACTCATGGCACCATTTCACCCACAGATTGTCCTTTTTCGTAGCGAGATTCCAGACCTGTTTTCCCAAGGCAGCTTAATTCCATAAAATGGGTTCTTTAATATTCAGGCCTCCAAATTTCTTGGGCTTACACACTTCACCCCAAGCCACCAGTGAGTATGCTCTACCATTTGCCTTTTTTCCCCAGAGAAATTCTCGACATACTCTGATCACTTTAATTATTGTTTTTTTTGGCAACATGAAGATGCTGGCCCAGTATGTATGCAAGGATAATAGTACTGATTTGATCAAAACAACCCTCCCAGTATAGGAGAGATGTCGGGATGACCAACATTTTATCCTGGCTGTAACTTTGTCCACGAGCACCCGACAGTCAAGTTCAGACCACTTGGTGGGGCAAGAGGAACTCCCAAATATTTCATTTGGAAGCTACCCTTACTGAAACCTGTGATACTTCTTATCTCCTCCTGTAGACTATTCTCCACACCATCACAGTAGACATGCGATTTATTCAGATTTGCTTTCAGCCCAGCAGTTGCTGTGAACTCTTCCAACACACCTTTTACTCTGGTGACTGTTTCCTTATCTGCTCTGCACAGAATTATCAAGTCGTCTGCAAATGTAAGGTTGGTGAGCTGTACCTTTTTACACTTAGGGTGATAATGGAAACCACCTTTCCCAACCTCAGCTTTGAAGAGTCTGGTCCAATAACATGAATGTGAAATTCCACTGGCCAAATTTCATTTTGAGAAAATCGATAACGTGTCAAAAGGGAACTTAAATAACAGGTCGCAGATATCCAGACACAAAATTTAAGTATTTTAATACTTAAGATGCAGAAAATGAACCAGTTCACGGCAGCTGAAGTAATTGAAAGCAGCAGCAACGACGTAAACATCTCAAACAGACGATAACCAACCAAAAGAATATAGTTCTATGGGTTTATACACGTTAGTTGCTGTAACTAAAACCCGATGCAAGAGTATTGTAAATGTGTCTATATAGTATATAAATCACAGAGAGCAAAATCAAGATCGAATTTTCAAGACCTAAACTGCAAAATCTCATGCGAAGCCACGCGAGGCTTTACTTCCAGTTTTATATATAATCCTCAAAATATGTCTAATTGTCTATAATTGTCATTATTGATCCTTGAAATTTAAACTTGTGACTTTTGTTCTTGCCTGTAACTTCAAACAAATTTTCTGTAAGTCCAATGGCGCGTCTACCGATCACGTCATGAATCTTTAGGGAGAAAATAAATTTATTACCTTTTAGGATTAGATTTCACAGTTCATATCGTTCACAGTTCAGATCACACACAAGGGGGCCGGGGGGGGGGAGGAAGGAAGGAAGAAGAAGAAGAGTAGGTTTAGCTAGCTCCATTTGGCGAAACAGAACAGGAATCACAAAAGTGATTGCAATACAAATTTTGAAGCACACATTTGGCGAGTTTAAAGTTCAAACTACGTTAAAATTAATTATTATGGAAATCAAAATCAAAACCTAAGCCAGATAATTAATTTGGGACGGAATATAAATTTTCAATGACGTACTCATCACCAAATAAAATACATACTGTATTAAAAAAAAAATCACAGATTTCCACACTTGGAGCTTTTCCCCTTTCCCCTCGTTTGACAAAGTTCGAGGACAAACAAAATCCTCCAAGAAAATGAATAAATAAAAAAAAAAAAGTAAAGAAGAGCTCCTATAAATAATGTCACCCCAGAATTCAGTTCCATCCAATAATTCCCAAACTTCCATCAAACTAATTAACCAGCCATTTCTCCGGTTGGTGTTTGAAGTTTCTAAATGGCCAAATCCGGCCTGAAATTTGCTCTCTTACTGTGCATTTTCTTAGCAGGATTTTGGAGCTTTTGTCTTAGCCTTAACGATGATACCAAGCTTCAGCCAACCGCAGATTTTGTACCAATGAAAAATGGTAACAACCAACAAGAATTCCTGAAATACTATCACTTCTCCGATGTTCCGAATTTTCCATCTTTGATTCAAGACAAAAGGTCCACCCGAGTCCACGTTACTTCCGGAGGTATCAAGACAAGGAAAATACTACAGACTATTGGGAATTTACACTGCGTGGGATGCCTTCATGTTGGCTGTTCGAGTTCCCCAAGCTGTCCTGCTAATTGTTGCATCTATTGAAGAACTATATTTCTCGATCCATTTTAATAGTTTAGTTTATCAAATTGGACTATCAAATTGGGAGTAACAAATATACGTAAACATCTTAGTTTGTTCTGATTTCTTTGAGTTAATCAACAAAATGATTTTATATCAAATGTACACGGTTTTTGTTTTGTAACAATGTATTTCATCCGTTGTCTATCAGAGCCTGTTTGCTTCCTTTTTCTTTTTTTTTTTTTTTTTTTTTTTTCTCTCTCTGTGAGTGTTTTTCTCAGTTGCATGCGCTTGTCCCTTAATTTCCACATCTTACTAATACTTTTTTAGTTCGAAGTGATTGTCCAATTTAGATTTTCCCTTTTAGCTGAAATTAGTATAAAAAGTAAAAAAAAAAACTCAAATTGAAATTATTTTGGAGAAATTCGCGGATTGCTCTAATTTTTTCACTTTAATAGAAAGTTGGTGACCTAGCGGGCTTATCCCAAATTTATCGATTACTAAATAAATGGTCAAGTCAACGGTAATGTTAAAAACGTATAGAAGGAAAGAGTTGCCGGCGGCGCAGAACAACAACGTTTACCATTTCATCAGTTCTTATACTTGGACTAATATTTTTTCTTTCCTTTTCTTTTTAAAGCTAATTAAGTGAAACGGGATTTTGTTATTGAGCTAATATATATGTTCCCTCATGGGGAAAGAAAAATGAGTAGTGCTACCATCTCACTTAATATAAAGTGTTACAGAATATGGTAAATTATATTTCATTTAACCCACTTTATAATTTGCGAATTACAATGAAAATAATACAATTCATAAAATGGAAAATTATAAGTTATAAGTCACTATAATCCTTACTTGCCAATTCTACGTATAGAATTTGTAAATCTTCTGATGCAATCCTTTACGTGATATACGTATGTTCATAAATTTCATTATCAAAACAAAATAATAATAAAAAAGAAATTCCGCCGATACAACAATAAACCCTTAATTGGATATGTAAGTAAAGAATTATGCCATCTTTCTGAACTTTCTTTTCCCTTTTAAAAAAAACTTCGTGAGCATTTTTGCTATCTGAATGATTCACAAAGAAAATCATAAGGAGAGGAGAAATCAAAGCAGCTTAATTAGACTGTCTAGTGACAATAAGTAGGGATATATAATTATTTTTTAAATGTAGTGTAGATTTATTTATATTTTCCTTGGAATTAATAATATTGACAATAGACAAAGTTGAACAAAGAGTAATGTTTACTTATCCCAGTCTACATCTTTAAATCTTAACTAGATGCTTGCCTCGAACGGATGCCGGGCGGCCCTGTTTATTAATTTTGTTATGTATTTTGAATCAAAATTATATATATAAGTTATGAAAATTTGTAAGCACTTAATTTTTTATCGCCATAATATTAATTATGAATATTTAAGAATCCAATAGTTACTATATGTTATTGGAATTATCATTATATTAAAAAATTATATGTACTGATATTATTATTTTAATGAAATATATATGACGATTATGGAGTCAAAGAATCATATATTAAAATTTAATTTGTATAATAATTTGTAGAATTTACTTTGTTAAATTCTGGATAAAAATGTTTAAAATAACCCAGCCCCAAAATTTTAAAATTTGACAGTTTATAATGATCATTCTTTATACGGGCCCAAACTTGAAATAATACTTCCTCTGTCCCAAAATTATTGTCCAGTTTGAGATTTCACTTTTAGTTCAATTTATACTAAAAATGCAAACATAAACTGAACAATAATTATGGAACGGAGGGAGTATGTGAATTTGTAAGCCCAAAATCAACCCATATAACGGGCCTGGTGTCCAATTAAATTTTACTTTTTTTCAAAAGAACAAAAAATAGAAAGGCCGGATTTTTTTTTTTTGGGTAACTTGATTAGAATGGGAAAGTTGACTTCGGAGAAATCTATGCTGCTGTACAATTCCTTTCACCCCGAAATATCGAACCCATATTCTCCTGACAAATTTTTCTTCGTTTCAATAGTTTTTGGCCGAATGATTTACACGGCTAATGTGGGGGGTGATTTTGGGATTCAAAATGGGTTTGAAATCGGGGGAAATTCCAAATTCTTCATCCAATGGGTCAGTCTGATTTCCAATCTCGATTAATCATAAGTATGCTTAGGTTGTTTATGCCAGAGGCAAATTGACGTTTGAGCTAAACTTTGAGCTTCGGCATCAACAAATTTGGATTTTTTATTTCGAATGCATGTACCTTCAATGAGTTTCATATCTTTTTTTTTTTTTTTTTTTTTATAGCAAAGGAAGGAGGATATGAGACTAGTCTCAGCCCCAATTGACTTATAAAATTGGGACTTATAAAATAATCAAGGAGTATCTCCAACAGCTATTTTATAAATCAACCAGTGCTATATGATACTATGCACCTAAGGGATATACGTAAGGGATAGACATATATATCTTTTAGTTCCCTACATTCATCTCTCCTCATAATTTTATTAAAGCTCCTCAAAGAAGGCGGCGTATAAAACTTACCTGCTATACATCACACAAACCGAGTTCTAATATAAGGAAAGGATGACTGATCAAGGATCAATAACCCTTTTACAACTCTTGGCAAAGACTCTAGATTAGAGTACATTTTTGAGGAACCATAAGACACACAATTTGCTAATCTATCGGCAACCAAATTAACCTTCCTGTATATATGCAAAACCTGAAAATTATTCTTCCGAATGATATAAATCATTTCATGCAAAATGGAGTAATACTTCCACAAGAGTCGCTTATCCAGCTTCGATATCTCCGCTAAGGTCTTGTTATCTGTTTGAAGCGTGACATGATGAAGGCCTAGCGAGTCGCATTTCCTTAACCCAAATAAACCTCCAATAATTTCAGCTTTAAAACTGTCTCCTTCTTCCAAATATCCACATTTCCCATATCCAGCATCATTTAAGCGCGATGATCCATCCGTATTCAGAATGAAGGAGTTTTCCGCTGGTGGTACCCAAGGCACTTTCCACACCCTAGCTCGAATAATTCGATTTAGATTTACTCCAAGGACCGTTTTGAAAAACTCTTTCTCCTCATCATCTTGGATTTTCAGATCAAGAATCACCATAATGGAGCGAACATGTTTCATAGTAGCATGAATAATGCACTGAACACTAGATTGAGCTCCATCGTAGATTATCTTGTTGCACGACTTCCAGATTTTCCAAAGTATACGTGAAGGAAAATTTTTTCGAAAAGCACCATGCGCTGTTTTAATATCTCCTTCCTTCCATCATATACTAAGCATAGAAGCAAGAGAATTAACTCCCCTGATATTAAGTCGAATTAAAGCTGCAAAATGCAACCATACCTGACGACTTTGCAGACATCCAAAAACCGCGTGTTCAAACCTGTCGCCATGAGCCATACAATTGCAGCAAATCGAGGGAAATATTTGGATTCCGAATATGCTCAAAACCTCAAGGAAAAGGTAACAAATGATTCCGCAATTTCCACAGAAAAATTGATATCTTCCATGGAATGAGCGAGTTCCACACATTCTTCATCAAACACTCATCCTGAACCCTACGTCGCATCAATGAGTTTCATATCTATTATAAGGTAATGTAGCTTATTCCATTTGTTATTATTTATTAATTTGCTTCAAATCTGTTTGAGTATTATACAGATAACTATCCGTCAATATACAGAAATGTAATTTGTCTGTTGTTTTTTTTTTTTTTGGATTCCTCAAAATTCTGGTGTTGGAGCTGGGAATCGAGCTGCTACCCTTCCGGAAGTATAAAACCCAAGCATCCAATTGAGCATATATCAAACTGAAACTAAAATTTCATGAGTCCCAATATCTATTTACCAATCCTGCCACTCATGTTAGGACGATTGAGCATATATCAAACTAAGTTGATCTTACTAATAACACAAACGACGGTAGGCAACATATAATGGCGGAACTTGGTAGCGACAAAGTAGAGAGCCAAGCATAACTTTTCTATGGCCGGGTACTTATGTTTAGTGACCGTCAAAACCATCTTGTGCCAGGAAACATCCCAAGGAATCATCTGTGGTAGGGATATATAATTTCAAAAGACGGCCAAAAAGTGGTGCAATCGTAACTGGTGTACGACTAAGAGCAGCCTTGATATCATCAAAAGCTTGTTGGTATTCAGGCTCCCAAACAAAATCTATGGCAGCTTGCAGTTTTAGCAATGGGGAAAAAGCCTTTATCTTAGACAATAAATTTGCCACAAATCGGAGTAAAAAGTTAATCTCGCCAATTAAACTCTAAAGCTCCTTCTTGTTACGCGGTGGTCTTGCTTCTAGGATGGCTTTAGCCTTTTCACTATCAACTTCTATCCCTCTAGAATGAACTAAGAAACCAAGGAAAACGCCAGATGTCACGCCAAAAGCACACTTGAGGGGATTAAGCTTCAACTTGTAGCGGCGCATCCGTTCAAAGCAGACGGTTAAATGTCGAAGGTGATCAGCAAAAGAATGTGATTTCATGACAACATCATCAGTGTAAACTTCTAACAAGTCACCGATTAAATCATGAAAGATACAATTCATGGCTCTCTGATAAGTTACACCAGCTTTTTGGGACCAAACGACATTACTTTCCATTGAATTATCCCTAAAGCACCTGGAGCGCGTTTTAGGAACATCTTTATGGGCGATGTATATCTGGTTATAACCCGCATTACCATCTACAAAGCTAAATATTTCATGTCCAACCAGCATATCAATGAGAGTTTCAGCAATGGGCATCTCATATTCATCTTTCGGAGATGTCAAGTTCAGGTTACGAAAATCGGTGTGTACTCTTGGTTTACCATTTTTCTTGATGACCAGCACAACATTGGATAGCCATTCGACATATGTTGCTACCTCTATAAAATCGACGGCCAACAATCGTTGTATTTCTTCTTTAACCTTACCAACTACTTCTTCTGAGAAGCATCGTGGAGGCTGCTTGAAAGGTTTGAATCCAGGTCTAAGTGGAATTGTGTGCTCTACTAACTTGCGATCCAACCCAGGCATCTTTGTGTAGTCCCAGGCAAAACAATCACGAAATGACTTGATTACATAGTGAGCTGCTGCTTTTCATTATCGGACAATATAGCACTGACATAGGTAGGTTTGGGAACATTCCATCCCCTAAATCGACGGGAATCACAAGATCCTTGGTGGTGATCGAGCCATCCTCTAACTTGTCTGCTGCAACAGCTAACTCGTTGAGCTCAATAACATCACCGTCTGTTTCTAGATCTGCATCATAAATCACATCTTCCCAATTGATCTCTGCATGTTCCGCCTTAAACTTGCATTCATCAACAAAAAACTTCAGAACTCGTTCAATGGCATCCCGTTTTTTAACAGCTTGAGCTAACTCAATGTCAAAAGAAACATCATCCGTAACTGATAATTATTCAATTGTCTTCATCAGGAACTTCTTCCATGATAATAGCTAGAGTCAACGGCGGAGGCATCTTGTAATTCTGCGGCTTGTTGACTTCTTGCCACAACATCTTCCATTCGGGAAGAGTAAAATCGTGGCGCATGGTGGCCTGCATTGGCTTACCGTATTTGTCAATCCCTAACATGTGATATGGACCAACCTCTTTATCATGATAATAAGCTTCAACTCAATTCGTTTGAGTGGTGAATGGTGCTGTGTCAGCATTGATGATTTCCAGACCATTCGTTCCCCAAAGAATAATAGCTTGATGTAGTGAAGAGGGCATGCAACAGGACGAATGAATCCAATCACGGCCTAATAGTGCATCGTAGGATGCTTTCATATCCACCACAAAGAAAGCAGAAACAATGGATCACAAACCAATAGTAACTTCCAACGGCAAGATCCCTCGAGTGCTGGTAACATCACCGCTAAAACCATTAACAAATATCTTTGTCGGGACTAAATCCTGCATGTGCTTGCCTAACTTACACATTTCGGAGAATGGTAAAATGTTTATGGCTGCACCCTTCAAGGGAACGCCATCCATGGTAGCATAAATGAATGAAGGACGAATATGAGTAGTAGCTGTATCATTCGGCTGTGTAAGCATGACAATGGATGACTTTCTAGGCCTTTCTACTACCTGAATTTCAATCTTCCCAGTTTCCTCTAGAATCATCAAAGTTGTGGAAGCATCAACATCAAAGGTATCGATCATTTTAGTATCTGTGTTAGAAATCGATGGCTCGACAACTATCATATCGGACGTTGTACGAAATGTCCATGGCAATACATAAACCATATTCACTAAAGGATTATGATCGACTACTTTTTGCCAGTACTGCTGCTTGGAAGAAGTTTTTCTTGTCCTGTGTGGTGGACTTAACGACATCTTTGTTTGGCGGCTCAACTGTATATCCTTGTAGTACCCAGCTCTCAACGCTTGCTAGCGGCGTTTCTGAGTGCAGGTAAGACCTGATGCAGCAAGGTGAACAGCTGGGAATTTCTGATGTTGGCTACGGTGCTAACTATTGTCACTAACCACCCTTGGTTTCACCATTCTAGGATGTCGCACAGGAGTCGGTGTTCTAGGTTTAGATATTCGATCCCATACTGATGTTCTTGCAGAATCAGATGATTTCTTTGACACATGTATTGTTTCTCGAGTAGTTATTGGTACATGCTGAATAGGTACAACAGGTATATGCCCATGAAGATGAGCACCGACACCAGGCGGCTGGAATCCTATTGGAAAGACCGGGTGAAGTTGTGAAGCTAGTGATGGTACATGATGATAATGATGGAACGTCGTGTGTTACAAATGATTCTGTAGGATTTCACTTGGTGCTGGTTTCTGAACCCATGTCTGTGGTTGACCATCAACCATGATAGTAACTTCCTGCTTTGGTACTGGTTGATGATAGTGCCCGCCAAATCGATGCTCCAATTCTGTCAATTGTTGCTTGAATCCACCGAGAACTGCATCACATTGCAAACAACCTATAGTATTACATGCTACAGGTATGTGACTATTCAAGCCAACATTGATCATGCGAACTAGGTGTTCTGCGGGAAATGGATTAACGTTCATCTCAACTGAATCATTTACCTTGATTTTTCCTTCATCAATCATCTTCTGTAGGTAATTTAGGAAAACCACACAATCATTAGTAGTATGTGTCCATGAGATGTGATACTTGCAATATGTCTTCCAAGCAATTTCAGATGGTTTCGGCGGCTGATAACCTTTCCTATACCGTATATGGCCAGGCTTCATCACATAATCAAAAATTGCTTCTTGTTGAGTGATGCCGAAAGAGTAAACTTTAGCAGCGACCGTGTCGGAAGTTTTAGCAGTTCTAGAGGAGGTTATCCCTTGAAAATATGCCTACTACACAACTGGTCTGCGCAATGCCTCACATGTGTACTCTTTTAAATTTATAATCTCTGCGGCATTGACGCTGTCCCAAGGTCGATCTTCATCATCAAAGGAACTCCAAGCAACGTTATTAACTTCTGCAGTAGGCTCTTTGTGGAACCAGGATTTTGGTTTGGTTCGCTTTGACTCTCTTGGATCGAATGACCTTTTCGGTGTTATGAACAACTTCCATAAGCTGTGTCAGACACCAAATTGGATGTGATGTTAATGCCAATTTCAATTTGAAGTCTTGAATTCCTGATATTGCCATCTTAACAATGGTAGACTCCTCATACTTGCCAGAAGAAGTCCCCCAGAATCTTTGCATGCATCTGTCGGAACCTAGCAAGATATGCTTCAGCTGTTTCACTCGGTTTCTGCTGGACTTGTGACAAATCAACTAATGACAATCTTGGTCTAGTAAGGTGGAAATTATGAATAAATACCCGCTTTTGAGTGTTCCAATCAACAATAGATCCTGGTTCCAAAGTACGATACAAATCTAACGCTATTTTGGCCAATGAATAAGGAAATAACCGCAGTTTCAAGAAAGGATTATGCCCAGCTTTACCACATTCCAATTCAAAGTAAACTTCTTGAAGTCTGGCATCTTGTAATTTCTTGGCAGAGGTTCAAACTCGACATACTCAGGATCAGGCCTACCCATCACTTCCGGTACCTCTATTCCTAGTTCCTTACGTACCATGTCTTCAACCATTGTTTTGAAACCAGCCTCTGTAGTGAACGCAAGTGCAGTTTCTTCTTCTCAACCAAAACCATCCTGTCGGAACTCCCTCTCAGGTTCTTGATAAAGATGTGCTTCTGGTTGATTTTCTCTTTGTGGATTTCTAGCATCTCTTCTCGGAGTATTGTTCATTTCCCAAGTTTGATTCTGTGCCTGATTTGCCTCATACTCAATCCATTGTTACTCCTCCAACAACTCTTCAACTGTAGGAACATGTCTCGGCAAAATTCGTGGTACAGTTTCTTGCTATCCTCCTTGCCGTGGTCTCCTTTGTGGAGTCAGCATGTTGTTAGTCAGGTTTCCTTGCTGATTTCCATATACTATAAACCTTTGGTCATTGTTCGGGAGTGGATTAGCTGTAGGCGGTGTATTGGCTATCACCAGAGTCGGTCGAACATTCACCAGGGTTGGTATGGCTTGAGTTTGCTAACTTTCGATATTCTGAAATTGACCATTCTGCCTGCCTAAAGGATTCGATGGAAGCACAGGTCTTGGTGGTGGTACTATTCCTCTCGGAGGACTAAAATTACCTGTCGATGGGTAACCAGGGGCTTTTGGTGGCCATCTCATCGCCGGAACAACCGGTGTAGGCCCATAACTAGATGCTGGCCGTTGGTAATTTCCATATTAAGGTAATGGACGGCCATCGAAGGTGAAGTTTCCAACTGGCGGGATAAAGGCCAGTTGACTTGGTTCAGCTCGATAGTACCAACTGGGATTTGGTATTGGTGTACTCTCTGGAACAACTCCTTCTTGGCTTACCCCACTGGCTGACAACCCTTGCACTGGTGTTGATGAGTTAGAAAACAAAGGATTATCATTGGTAAGAGCTGTAGATGGATCCAGTAGTGGTACACTCAATGATGCATCGGGGGTTATCGGTGGAGTTTTAGGTGCTGCCCTTCCATTAGGGTTAACCTTTTGGAGAGATTGCTCCAATGCAGCGATACAGGCTAGCATACTTGTGATAGTATTATTCTGCTGGCCTATAATGAGTTGCTCAATACTTTGGGGTGTGTTATACGCTGATTCTTTAGTACGGCCCCATTGGTCTAACCCTAATTGAGCATTGAGCCATGCTGTTCCATGCTCAGCAGTTTGTTCAGCACCTTGACTGTGATGAATTTGAGAGTGATATGAACTTCTCAACTCATGTTCCAGATTCTGATTCGCTGGCAAAGAAGGTACTACTAATGATGGTAACGAAAGAGTTAATGCTACTTCTGTTTTCCCTGCTGATTTGGCCGCTTCAGTTGTTGATGGGTCTGAGGAAGTAACTCCTGTTGGAACAGAAGTTGCTGCTGTTGTCGTTGACATAACTTCAAACCTAGTCGAGACACGCAAATCAGTTCCACTGGGCATGCCAATTATGTTTGTGCGAAAATAATCAGTAGAAACTGATGCACGCTTGCAAACAATATCAAATGAAAGTGTGTAATTCGTGAAGTGCAATATTCGGCTAGGTGTGAAGAAGAAGGATATAAAGACTTGTAATAGCCTGGATAAAACTGAATTGATAATGAATTGATGAAACTTATACGAAATACAATGAGTAAATCGAATATAAAAGACTTGTAAAAAAGATAGTGAAATAAAACAATAGGGTGATAAAAGAAAGAAGAGCTTTGCAGCTTGTGTTGTGTTGTGTTGATGATGAGTTGTGTCCTATGTCGCTCTATTCTTTCTCTTTATACAGGGCTCGGTAATCGTTGAGGCGATGCGATATTCGATTCCTACTGGAATTCGGTATTGCTGATTTAGAATCATAATTGACTTTTATTTTCGATTCCTTGTTTCTCGCCACAATTGTAATTCTTCTTGGACTTGGATTTGGCTCTCTCCTATGCCGAGTTGGACTTTCGACGCGTCTCCTTCTCCGATTCGGATATGGACTCTCCTCGTTCCATGTCAGATGTGTATTTCTTCTGTAATTGGACCGATTCACCACTTTTTTTGGACCGACTCGATTTTAATAAAAATCGGTGGTAAGACAGTGTGCTTATTTTTTTGCTTTCTTAGATTTTCATATGCTTGTAATAATTTTTATGGGACTACTATTTTGAGCTTCACTGAATGATATCGTCAGGATACTGGGATTGGGGATTGGGTCAACTGAATTCTCTAGTAAATCATCATCCCCTGTTCCTGCAAGATACTTCAGTGCTCTATATTGCTCTAGTATATTGCCACTTCGTAATTTAGCTTGGGTTAACATAGCCACTTGTCAATTAAGTTACCCAAAATCTGGATGTCCTTCACTGCTCGTATATATGGAGTGAGATTGCAACTTTTTTGGCTTTTTAAGTCATTCAAGATAGAAGACTTCCAGGAATTAACAGAATTCCCTTTCTCTTGAAAAAAATACTCTAAGTGTTGTCAGTTGTCACAGTCCACCAGTCAATGAAATGATAATTTCACTTTCTTTAACATAACTTTTTTTAAAAAACTTTAATTTGTTCTTACTGACATCGTGCCACACAAAAAACGAACAATGAATTACTGAATAACACACATTGCTGCTATGAGAAATTTATTCATTTTGATCGTGCTGGAAAATACAATATAAAAATTCAGGAAAAAATATTCACGATGAATATAATGTGACATCCTTTATTGCTGCGCTGAGAACTTAGACTGAAATTCATCAACCAATCCCTTGTCGATCCTGAATGCCTTAGCCAAAACCTCATCATCAATGGGCGGATTCGACCCGAAAAGGGCATTTCCAATGGTAATGGTACCCGGGTTCTGGCTTCCCAATGCAGCTAGAGCAACAGCATTAGTCTTTCCCACATTCTGGTGAAAATGAACAAGCCCTTGCGGGAAAACAAACGCGTCACCCTTCCGTAGGATCTTGGTGAAAAGCCGGTTTTCGGGGCTCGAAGTGATGAACCCTACTTTGAGTGTGCCCTTAAGAACGGTGAGTAAGCCGGTGGCTCGCGGGTGGATGAGTGGAGGGTTGACGGCTCCGGGGGCGAAGTCGATTCGCGCCATGGAGACGCCGAGGGTGTTGAGTCCGGGTAATACGGCGACGCTGACCGGAGTGACTTTGGAGCCGAAGGGGTTTGAGGTGTTGCCCGGTTTGTGTAATCCCCTGAAGAAGAAGTCCTCGGCTGTTACTAGCTTGGGATCTTTGCAAGTTACTCCGTTCAACAACACTACAAAAATATTCCAACAATTAATTAAGTAACATTTATTTATCAGCTATATATGATGTTGAAATTTTCGTCCCATATATCGTCAAGAGTCAGACAAGAGATACGTTTGTTTGCATATGTTTTGATAGATTGTTCCTAGGACTGATTAATGATTAAAGCTGTCTTAATGTCTTTGTATTTGTTTTATATATAGCAAAAGATTTACATAATAATCAATTTAATTGATTGTACTCTATCCTGTCACATTTTAAAGTCGATAACTTTATTAAATTACAAATAATAAAATAAAATAACTTGTTATTAAAAACTTAAAACGAGACAGAGATAGTATAGCTTGATAACTGACTAAATTTTCAATGACAACTTAATAGTAAATAATACACTTTCCATCCTGAAATTATTTTCTAATTTGAATTTCATTTTTAGTTCAAATTGCACTAAAAGTTACTACTAAATTGCAAACTGGACAATACTTTTGGAAAAGAGTAATAATACTATCTCCGTCCCAAAAAATTAGTACACATTGAGTTTTCAAATTTGTACTAAAAATAGTACAAAACTTAAAACTCAATATGGATTATTTTTTTGAGACGGAGGGAATAAATGATATTAATGCTTGCAAAAATGGTAGGACACAATACATTGACACATTGGGTTCATATCATTATCGGATCGGGAAGTTGTTCCAACCAATGACCAAACAACTGCAGTCAAAACTGCTAAACATCTAGCACTGAAAAATATTTTTCTCAATTTTCTTATCTCTTTTAGTTTTGAACTCATCTTTTTACATTGTCAATACGAAATCATACTAAACCACGTTCTAACTATGCTAAATGAAACCATACTGGTATATTGCGGGTACTGAAAGAACAAAGCATCCAAAGAAATTACAAGAATTAGTCTTACCAGGGCTCTTAACATCAGCAACGCAGAAATCTTGCAAAGAACAAGGATCACTTGCCAAGGTAAAGTAAATATAATATGTTAGAGCTAGAAAGCCCCGAAAAATAATGCTAAATTTATTCATGTCTATGTAGAACGAATTGGAGATATGAAAGCAAAAATGAATGAAGAAATGGAAGAAATATTTCAAGAGAGGGTTTGGTTCTGACTTCTGAGCTTTCACATATTTATACAGCCCGCGTGTGACTGCTTCCTAATCAGAGTATTGTCGCATTCGGCATATTCGGCCGATTTTTTCAAGGAAATATTAGGGCCTTTGTGAATGAAATCTTCCACAGCTAGTTTATTTTTGGTTTTTGTCGGCATCCCGGCAATTTCTAATGATCGGGACAATTGCTAAAATGTTAAATTCTTAATGATTGTTGAAGATTTCAATGGACAGGAAAACGTAGTGAATTTCAGCTCCTGTATGTGTATAGTGTACGAAATGAACCTACTCAGCCCGGAAACGGTAAAAAAGAACTGTTACTTTTAATTGGGTTTGGTGATGACTGATTACAAATCTAAACTTTGTTGACCTTGTCATGTGTAGTTAATCCTTAGATGTGTGCATAATTTAAGGAAATTACTCACTGTAGTTACTGCTGATTATGATTATATTTTTCAATACAAGAGAAATATCAGTAGTATCTGGGCCATCCACTTTTTTTTTTCTTTAAATAGTAGTATCTTTTATTTGATTATTTCTACAATTCATTTTACCACGGGCTTTTTATTCGCTTTCTTTTCTTGTAATCTTGATAAAAATGACCTTTAGTTTAGGTTGGAGAATGTATATACAAACAATGAATTGAGATGTTTACCACAAGGAAAATTACTACTCACTATGTCCATTTTAGATTTTTATTACTAATGTAAATTAAAAATTTAAATAGACAATCATTTCGATACAGGATTACTAAACAAAATATGTACTTATATAGTTTGGATAAGTTGCTCGATGTAGATGTGTACACCACGGGGAAAGCTAAATTTTTATTGGATTGGAGGCCATATATTTTTTCCTTTCCTTTTCATGGCAATAATAAATAGGATTAGGTTCAAACTTTTCTTTTGCCATATTGACATTGACATGTTACCTCAAATGAAGAAGCATAATTTGATTTCGGAGATATATACCGTCAACGAATAAAACATACAGAAAATGGTAACACTACACCCATTAATTATAAGAAGATTTAAAAGAATATCAATACACAAAGAATAAGAGAGATATAATAGTTAGTATTTTAAATTTTGAAATCACATGATTATTATATATATATATATATATATCAATAAACATCGATACAGTTAAACAAGACCATAATTGTGTTAACCAGCTAGCATCATAGATTTACTGGACAGATGGACGCATTCTAATTCTCGTCCAATCTTATTCGTAAAGCAGAAGTCCCATAAGTCATAATCCTATATACATGTACATAAGACTAAATTTTGACTTGTTCATGGACCTTCAATCCTTCATAAAAAAGGCCAGTTCATGAACATGACCAAATCTAAAGTTGTCCACCAATAAATTAAGTCAATAATTTATGGATAATATTGAAGGTTTGAAACCTTAATTTGGCAGAGTGGAGAGTGGAGACCAAATCATTCTTCTATATTATAATACTTATATAATTAATCAACTAGCCGCTCTTCCATATATAATTCTTTGTTTATGTTTTTTTGATGGTGGAACACGTGTTGAAAGTTTCTTCTGTTTTTGTAGCTATAGTTTCCTCGTCAACCCACGTACGCCGTCTAATTTTTGTTCTTCTGGCGTTTGATTTGATGAATTAATTATCATTTCTAATTTGCATCAGTATTAACTACTAATTATTTTTGCTTCTGTTGTTGGAATCAACAAATTTTGGTGTTACCATTTCTTCCTAATGAGTAAAATTGTCATGTGTTATATACCAAAAAATAAAACAAAAAAATTATTAATTCGTGTGTAAAAAATGAACAAGCAATAAAATTTTTTTTTTGGTAAAATGTAAATATGTATTGATCACCTTCAAAACTTTACAAACCTACCTCCTGCTATTACATACCTTCCTATACAAGATCTATCTCAAAAAATTCAGTAAACAAGCATTCTGTCTGGACTTTTGTAAACTCAATATTCTACACTTCATCTCATTCTGGATTTTGCCAACTTTATGCTCTGTCAACTCCTCCATTCTAACAAACCTTCTGCTGTTCCTTTCTAACCAAACATGATAAACTGTAGCATTTAAGCAAGCATACAGCAATTTCTGTTTAGCAGGCGTAAACTTCCAAATATTGATCAGTCTGCCTGCATTCAAAGTCTTGATCTCTCTTCTGATGCCCAACCAAGTCTGCAAATCCTTCCACATTCTCTGAGTATAGCCACATTGCATAAACAGATGCTTCCCTGTCTCATCTTCACTTTTGCACAATACACATCTTGGTTCATTAACCTAGATTGTCATCTTCTTCAATCTTTCCACAGTAAGTGGTCTATCATGCCACGCCAACCAACTGATGAAATTATGCTTAGGAAGTCCAACTGAAGTCCAGACAACCCTTGCAGGTAGAAATTTGTGCTGATCTCCTCTCAACCATCTGTAACCACTAGTTGCATTGTACTCCTTCCCTCCATTATTCTTCCACTTTCCATTCAGTATTCCTAGTGCAAATACCTCCTTGATCTTATTGATCTTCTTCCAATGCCAGCTACTATCCTGAGAAGGTTGATACTCCCACCAATTTTTCTTTTTAACATAATAGATATGAACCCACTTCACCCATAAACTTTCCTTCTTCTTGGCTATATCCCAAAGCTACTTTCCCAGAAGAACTTTATTCCATGCTCCTGGTTCTTTAGTATTTAATCCTCCTTCACCTTTGCTTCTGCAAACTAACTCCCATGCCACCAGTGATTTTGATGCTCCATTCACTTTCTTGCACCATAAAAATTCTCTGCAACATTTACTGATTTGCTGTATGACATTTTGAGGAATCAGGAAAATACTGGCCCAATAAGAATTCAAAATGAGTAACACAGAATTAACTAACACTGTTCTTCCTGCATAGGATAAATGCTTTGATGACTAGCATTTAATCCTTGCATTAATCTTGTCTATCATCATTTGACATTATCTCTGAGTCCAAGCAGTTGGTGAAAGTGGCATACCTAAATATTTCATAGGGAACTACCCAACTTGAAATCCCATAATCTCCTGAATTTCCCCTTGCACATCCATTGATTTCCCTCCAAAGTACACATTTGACTTCTGATTATTCACACTAAGCCCTGTCACTGCTTCAAAATAATTAAGCACATTCTTTATCACCTTCACTGTTTTCAAATCAATTGCACTGAATATCAATAAGTCATCAACAAAACACAAAGTAGTGATCTTAAGCTTTTCACAGTACAGATGAAGAGCTATTAGACCATGATCCACCTTATCCTTGAAGCACCTTGTCAAATACTCCATGACCATAACAAATATCAATGGTGACATAGGGTCACCTTGTCGTAATCCCCTCCTCCCTTGAAAGAATCCTTTCATATTTCCATTCAGATTCAAGGAATAAGTACATGTAGTCACACACTCCATTATCCAACCTATGAATTTACTTGGAAAGCCATACTGCTGCATCATTTCCTCAACAAACTTCTAACTAACCGAATCATAAGCTTTCCTTAAATCCACCTTCATTATACAACTTGCTTTAGCATCTTTTCTGTTATATTTTCTGATCAGCTCTTAGGATAGCAGGATATTATACAATATAAGTCTTTGTTTAATAAAAGCACCTTGATTCATATCAATCAAAACAGGAAGGATATTACTTAATCTTTCACAAATCATCTTAGTAATACATTTATAAAGTGTATTACAACAAGAAATGGGTTTGTCCTCAGTGGCATCTTTGGGATTAGCATTCTTAAGAATCAATGAAATCACAGTAGAATTAAGTTGTTTCAACAACTTACCAGTCCTAAAGAATTCCAAAATAGCTTCACAGACTTCATCTCCAACGGTGCTCCATCTTTTTTTATAAAATTCACTACTGTATCTATCTGGACCAGCACTCTTGTTGCTATCAATACTGAACATTGCTTCTCTTACATCAGCCTTAGTAAAATCTTTAATCAGGAGTATCTGTTGGTCTACAGACAGTTTAAACCCTGAACTAAGTATTCTACCATCAGCTGGTGTATGATCAGCAGTTTTCCCAAGCAGGTCTTCAAAGAACTTCACAAAGTGATTCTCCACTTCCTGATAGTCCTCTTCTAGTTCTCCATCACTTTTAATAAAGGACCTGATTCTATTGATGCTTCTCTTCTCGTTTAAACTGGCATGAAAATACTTGCTATTAATGTCCCCCTCCTGTATCCATTTATCTTTAAGTTTCTGAGACCAAAAACTCAACACATGTCTGCTTGCTTCCACATACTCATCTCTGGCTTTCTTCTCTTCCTTTTGCATGGAAAAATTCTCAGGATCCAGGCTAAGTTGGTCCTGGATCATGATCAACTTGCTATGACATTCCTGATATTTGACCTCCACATTCTCAAACTTCCTTCTATTTAAATCTCTGAGTGGCTGTTTAAGCAACTTTTGCTTACTAACAACACTAAACTGTGTGGTACCTGTGATTTTCTTCTGCCAGACTTCTTTAACAATGGATTGAAACTCATTACTCTGAGTCCACATATTAAAGTGTCTAAACGATTTCTTGCCAACAACTGGATCATTTCCCCATCCGAGAATCAAAGCATTATGATATGAGATTCCTGCTGCAATTACTATGGTATATGCTGTATTAAACTGGTTGAACCAATCTCCATTCCCCAAGGTTCTATCCAGTTTAGCCATAATACTTTTGTCACCAACTTGCCTATTCCACCATGTATATTTTCCTCCATAGGTTGGCATATCCCATACTTCACCATCTTCCATCCATGCTTTAAATTTATCTGTATCAGCACTTACTTCATTTCTTCCTCCCAAACTTTCTTTAGGCTTGATTACACAATTAAAATCTCCCATTATTAGCCATGCTCCAGTGATATGATCTGCAATATGTTTTAACTCCTCCCATGAGCCAAATAATCTGCATACACACTGTCACATAGGACCAGTACTTAGTATTGAGATTTTTTACCCAGCAATGAACATACTGCTTATTAACAGTCTGTATTTTAACTTCATATTCTTCTTTCATCCATAATACTAAGATACTTCCTTTGCTCTTCCCTTCATGATTACTACAGTATTCATATTGATGCCACTTCTTCATCACTATCTCTTTAGCTTTTTCCCCTGTTAATTTC